GCAGAAAGTACTGAGCGAAGGCAGCGACGCTTGATTTTTACAGATTCTGTTTTAGGCTGCGATGTCGAGATATGATGGCAATTTTAAGAAATATGTAAAGACAAAAAAAAAAACATTTCTTATAGAAGTTTCATACTGCAGCTTTAAGGACAGCAAAGTCAGTGATTTTGAGTTTGTAGGAAGAGGCAGCAACATAATCTGCAAACCTGACCATCTGCAGTCAGTTTCAGAAAACTAAACATTTTTTACTGAACTTAAGAAATGGATCTAGACTTTCAGAAGAAGTTTTATTTATACAGCACTTTTTCAGCAACAAGGCAGTTCAAAGTGTTTTATGAATCAGAAGAAAAATAGAAACACAAGTACAACAGAAGTTTAGTTTTTTTTTTTAAGTTTGTTTTACATTAGTAAAGTATAAATGTTGGTTCTTCATGTTTGATTCTTGTTCTGGGTTGCCAAGTAATCCACAATTTATACTAACAGGATCTAATCCTAAGGTAATGAAACAATGAAAGGGAAGGTTTTAGACATCGGAATGAGGGAAAAGTTGCACACACTGTGCGTAAATATCTAATTTTTATTGCCAATACGGTAACGGACGTTGTGCTTTGTGCAGGGAGACGGTTGGATCTACAACAACCCGCTGTGGAAGTCGACCTGACAGCGGAACAACGCGCCTCCTGCGGATGAAAACCCCGTCCTCCAAGCTGAGGCCTGGCCTCGAGGCGAAGCGGCGCCGTCCTCCACGGACCTTCAGATTCACAGACGGTGGGGACAAACATGAAGCGAGCGAGGTGCCAAAGGGATTTCCTCAACCAACAGAGCGAGCCTTCGGACCCCCGGGACTGAAGAACACTTTTATAGTCTTACTGGTTACAGAAGAATATTTCTATTTTTCACTCTGCGAAGGCCTTTTCTTTCCCACAGTGACGACATTTAGCACTAGTATTAGTTTGACTGGTCATCAGTGTTGAAGCTTTAGATCAAGTCTTCTGTAACACACCATACTGTAGCTGTAAATGACTTCAATGAAGCACTTTTACCAGAGAAAAATTAACTATTTTATACGTCACAGTGGCTTTTAACTCTCTGAGCTTTACAGAAATCTAACCCTATTGAAAGAAGAGATTTAAACTGAAATGTATGACGTTATATCATAGTCTATATTATTACACACTATTTTTGTCTGCACTCTGAATGTATCTGGGCACATTTTAATATTTCTCACCGTAATCGTATCGACTGATTCAACACGTTTTTCCCCTAAACCTTCATTTAGGTTTGAGTCAGACATCTGTCTGAGTGAGACAGATGTCTGTCTCACTCAGTGGATGAAAAACAGCTGCCAAACTGAATATTTCCATTACTACCTCTCATGTTTTTGCTACAAACTTGTTTTCTGGTTCGTTTGTGGCTCAAAGCTCCTGGGTCCACTTCGTCTGTTTTGTATGTGTAACCCCAAGATGACGCTGGTGCAATTAGGCTGCAGCCCCTCAAACCCCCAGCCTCCGCCTGCTCCGGTTTATGCTTCTCCTTGGGTTGCCTGTGTTGATTAATATGGATGAGGCAGTTTGCAGAAACTCTGCAGGGAGAGAGGGGGTTCGCAGGAAGGCTGCCTCTGAAGATGAGAGGATCGACTCCCATCAACCACAGGGGAGAGGAGGATGTGTACTGGTTAATATCACTCAAAGGAGACAAACCGTGTGGCCAACTTCCAGATTTTATAAAATAAAACTAAGGATTTAAACACTCGGATGGTTTCTTTCTTGCTGTGACGATGAGCCCAGCGCCAGTACAACAAACAAATGTCTCATCATCTTTCATTTTCTGATATCTCAGCTCATGGCTTCCTTTCCGCCATAAATAGGAGGTAAAATAAAGTATTTTATATTTTAAAGGGAATCTATTATGAAAAATTTACATTTTGCACATTTTTATATTTCCATTTGGGTCTCTACTGCTTAAAACACCCAGGCATTTTTCACATTAAATTCGTGTTTTCTGTTTTGAAAAATGAGCCGCGTCAAAAGCCTCCTGATTATTACCTTACCTTTCAAAAACCACTTCATGCATTCTTGTTTGTTGGGAAGGAGGCTCCCCTTCTGCTTTTCCAAGATGTACGGCTGTACACTGCGCGTCAGTTTTCAATCATTTACGTGTGAATGGGGGGCGTGGCCAGAAGCGCTTTACTTGGATTTAAAGTGACAAGATGCTGTAAAACAGGATATTCTGGAACCAAAATCTCATTAACCAAGAATGATTTTGTTCAAAAAATAGGAAACTGTTTTGTATAGTTCACACATCTCCTAACTTGTTAAATTAAGCATAATGAGTCATCTTTAAAATCAACCTGAAGGACAGGATGGAAATTTTACATAAAAAATGTGCAGGAGTCCTAATTGCCTTTAGATGTCTTCTTGTTATTAGAGACCATCTGTGTGTGATTTAGGCTCATAAATCCAGCTGTGAAGGCCTCAGAGGTTTTCCCGAGAACATCGGGGAACAAACGGCAGACAGATCAGGGAGAAAGTTGTGGAGAAGTTCAGAGAGTTTTAATTAGAGCAGCAGCCAAGATCCACAGATCAGGACCAGCACTAGATCTGAGCTGCAAGTGTTCCTCTCTGCAGTTTGCTACAAGCATGCAGGGACAGATATGGGATGTTTTCCTTGGGTAGAGACGGGGAAGCTGGTCAGAGTTAATGAACTGATGGACTGAAGTAAATAAGACTCGAGTCAAACACTGGGTCAGCGGTTCACCAGATGTCTGTCGTTTCAAAACGTTTGAAAGTAAACCTCTGTTTTTATTAACACCCACCAGAGATGGACATGTCCCACCCTCAATGAGGGTGTGAATATAGAATAATTTTCTATATTCTGCTCAGGATCAAATTTGTGAGAAATGTTGTTACATGACTAATAAATATTCCGCCAGCAGGAGGCAGTTTAGGTCAGACTCACGGTTAAACGGTGCAACCAAATAAAATTGTTTATAGACAAATTAAACTATAAGTTGGAGTCTGGCTGTCTCATAATTTATAAATAATATCAATGGGAGGGGGGGAGAAAAAAAAAAAAAGAAACATTGTGGTTCAAGTAGATGAGGCAGAAGAAAGAAGAAATTGTGAAGCAGAGAAAAGGGACGAACAGGTGGCGGATAGACAGACCCCTAAATCTACTTGGATCAGAGATTTCACATCCCAGAGTTCTGGTTTCCTGCAAGTTTCTGCTTTAATATTAGGCCATTAGCAGGACTCTTCATTTTGAGCATCAAGTATTAGGGACGCATCTAAAAGTTGCAGAACTCCAGGTTTTAAAGGCTGCAGCCTGAGGACCTTGATTAAGATGATAGGAAATATTTGTGTTGAAACGGCCCTGTTAAAGTTCAGATCTAAATTCAATGGAGAAACTTTGGTGTTTAAGATGCTCTAAATATTTTAACTGAACTTTAAGAACGGGCAAATCTTGCTCGTTGAAAAAATGTGTGCAACTACAAACTGCTTTGTCCTCATGTATGACGTAAAATCCCACTAAGATGCATTATAGTTTGTAATAAAAGAGTAAAAGGTTAAGAGTTTGAAAGGTTTTGTAACAAAACGGCTTCTCATCTCTGGATTAGGTATAACTCCCGCACCAGTTCAGTATTGAAGATTTGTCATATTAAAAGTGCTACAATAGTATCTTTGCTCAAACGTCCCTGCAGATCTTCTGCACGTCACAGTAACGTCTACAGGAGAGGCCGGCGAGTTGCAACAACACGCTTGGTGTTTTCCACAACTAGCAGAGGCTCTGACGCTGATGAAACGAAAGAGGTTATGACATCTTCACATGAAACCAACAGGACATCGGATCATCTCCGACTGATGAAAGCTGGATTACAAATTACACTCGAGCCCAAAATGATGTCGGCTTCCACCAGTGAAGCCAGATTTCAGTTTCATCTGCTGAAAACCGAAAAGAGACATGAAAATCGATACTTTAATTTCTACCTGCAGACCACAAACCTCTGATTGTTTTACAGCACTATCTCCAGTGCTCCCACGATTCACCACAGCTGATTTCAGTGGACAATTAACTGTGGACCCAATCAGGTCCTTCAAAATCGGATGGGGGAGAACGGATATGTCAAACACACAGGAGACTCAAGTTCAGTTATTTACCATCATATTTATAATTGCTAAATAAAAGCATGCACACTTAAAATCAGGAATCAAAACAGAAAAGGAGAACAATTATAAAACTTGTCAAACACTTTTTAGGTCAAAATAATTCAAAACAATATATTTCTCAATCCATTTCAGAAAAAGTTCAGCAGTTAAAACGAAACAAAAACACGACAGGAAGCAAGGATGGATATGACGAGGGATGGAGGACAAATATTAGACATTCACCGACAGACGGATGTAAGACACTGATGGACATTTGGCCAGAAAAGTTGATGGACAAACTGATGCAAGAATGAAAGAAGGGAACTGATGGATTGATGTGACCAGGGAGGAAGAACATATTGATGGATGAACGCAACTTTCAAACTCCGGTACTAGAGTCATTCTGAAACTTCTGGACATAACGGGTGTGAGAGAGACGGGACCCCAGGAAGTTGCAGACCCGTTTTAAAAAAAATAGAGGGTAAGAGAAAAAAAGTCTAAAAGTTTTTCACATTCAGTTTTCTTCTTCCATATTCATCCAGATCTAAAAAGTATTTAACCTTCAAACTTTTTCAGACAATAAGAAAATCTGCTCAATGAAAACTTAAAACATGTTGCAGTCCTGATCTGCAGTCTTCTTTGCACATCAGGAATGTCACGAGGAAAATTCCCCAGCATTCTTGTTAAAAACACCAGCTGAGGATGAAGTCATTCTTCATGCAGATCTGCAGTCAAAGGTGAATGCTGCCATCAAGTGGTTTAGTTTGCACTCACCTGACTCGTCAGAGAGAAAAAACCCAACTTATTTTAAACGCAAACACAGGAGTTCATAAAAACATCACACACAAACATGGCTGTTTTGTTTAGGAGTATATTTGGAGGTGGCACAACTGAACAAAATGTAAAAATGTAAACTCTGAAGGTGAGCGGGGACAAATCGGAGACTGCATCCAACGCAAAGTGTTCAGGTAAAACCGCAGTCGGAAAAGCAACATTTTCATCCGGTTTAAGGAAAAACTTATCACATAAGGAAAAGGAAAAGTACATCACATTAAGGCTTAATCTGAACTCTGTCCTCTTCCTACGAATGAGAATCCAAAAGGACACAATGCAGTTTTAGGCGAAGTGCAACAACACGTCCAAATGTCACCGTTCCAGCAGCCTGAGGCCTCCAGAGGAGACAGTCGGTAAAAACGAGAACAAAGCGATTCAGACGCATTTCAAAGAAAACGATCAGAAAACCTCCCCTTCAGTAAGATGTGGCAAAACAAATAACATCTGCAGGATGTGTTTTAAGTCTCTTGTTTGATAAAAACTGAAAAAAAAGTTCCCAAAGCGTGCATAAAAAGAATCTTTCTGTTTCTGTCGTCATACGAAAACAGTGCAGCGTCCTTTTAAAGAGATGCAGAGCTGTGTCCCAAATCCATACAGCACACGCCCGCTGAAGCCCGTCCAAACTGGAGAAGGGAGACATTTTTAAATAGATGGGAAACAGAATTTTATCATTTTTAAAGGTTTCACCACAAAAAAAGAAAAAAAAAAAAGAAATGTGCTTTTTTACACCAACAAAATCCAGAAATTCCTCCATGTGAATTCTTATAGAACAAAAAAGCTTGGGAAAATAAAAAGAGCATGGCAGACCTGCAAACCTAAAATAACAGAGTATGGGTAGCGGTGTGTAGCACAATATACGGAGAACTGATGTGTGGCACTGTGAGAACGTTCGCTACAAAGACCGAGGAAGTAAACCTGTGAAGAGAAAAGATTTAACAAAATTTGTTTCTATGCTTTAAATATTTTAAGTTCTGGGAAAGTAAACCAAGTACTAATGAAAGACAACAGTTCATGGAATCAAAAGCCAAACCAGTCAGTTGACCACACCAGCTGACAAAAACAGCTTTTTGCCAGCAGTTTGTTGGCAAAACGTTAATCAGCTACACGGTTTCCAGCCGTTTTTACTTTTTGAACGTTCGCTGCCAGCACTGCAAATTTAGCAAAAGATCATCTTGCATTTTAAGCCACTATAATTACTCTTTACTGCAATTGTATTTCCTCTGTGTCTGAGCCAAATGAAGGTGCGTGCTCGGCACACTGTGTATTAGTATAACATCCCTTCTTTCAGCACATGAGAAGGATCAGGTTGAGGTGACGTATTTCAGGGACAAACATTTATTTGGAGAAAGTAACCAGAGGACAAACAGAGCTCCAAAGCTACTGTAACGCAGTAAAATATGGAATAATTACATGGAAAAAAGTGAGACTCATACAAAAAAAAAAAACGTGAGTTGAATATCTGTGATGGCAAGAAAAACATTTCCACTGAATAATCAGGGCATGAAGAATTCAATGGAAAACATCTCTAATTATTTTAGTCAAAATTGATCCTCCGTTTTTAGTTTTATTTTGTGTCATATGCTTGGCGGGAAGAAACCTTAATAGTTTTGAGTTTCATCGGAACAATCCTGAGCTAACAGCCTCAACATCATTCAAGCTACTTTTCTTCTTGTAAGTTATGAATTTTTGAGGTTTCAGTTTGTTTTAATGGTACGTTTTGATAAAGCAACAGATCAGTAACCAGGTTCAAAGTTTCCTCACATGTCCGCCGAGAGCAGCAGGTATGATAAGGACACAGCTCCTTACATTTGGTAATTTATCTTCCCGCTACAACCGATGTTGCTCCTGACAGTCGTCCTCTTTACCAAGGCTACACAAAAACCCTCCTTCACATTTTTGTTGATTTTCAAATCAAAATTTAAAAGCAAAAACAAACAGAAAAGTCTAATCACCATGTGTGGTCAGCAGCAGTTGCATGACAAGCCAAAGTAAAAAGGAAGAATCCAAAAAATGTGAACTGCAACAAGGTAAAATTCTGCAATATAACTCGGCTTTGCTCAATCAAGAGCGCCCCCTATAGCCCCAATTTGCAATATACTTTTTTCTCTACAGCTCACTTGCTTGTTTTTAAAAAGCGTAGCAGCAGAAATATACAATCAATGCAATTTACGAAAAAAAGGGGGAGATGTAAAAAAATTCACATTCAAATTCTTTCAGTGAAATCTGAAGCCCCTCTGTGTAGTTATTGCATTCACTGTTCTAGTTGCTGTCATATAAAAAACAAAAAACAAAACCAAGAGGAAAACCCAAGAACTGCGCATTTAAAAATCACAATGATCCAATATATTACCATCAATTTAGAGATTTTTTTTGTCTTTACAGAACATATTTACACTTTAGGCCAATTTCTTATAGAATTTGTTGGAAACCAAAAGTCAGAGGCAGGCAGATGTTAAGGAGATGAGGATGGTAAAAAGGTTAATATTGCAGATGTTCTGCATGTGGATGGTGACGTTCCTCCATACCGCATACTGTCCTCTGTACACGCGTCAGGAACAAAGTCCTCTGCTCTCCCTCCGGCGTTCCCTCGCTCTTAGCAATGAGTCCCCATGTGCTGCGGAGCGAGGTCGATGGGTCTTTGGTGCAAACGTTCCTCATTCCACGGATCAGCAGATCTCCTGACTGATAATCAGGTCAGTAACAACCCCCCAACACACACACACACACACACAAAAATGTAAAAAAATAAAAATGAATCAAAGTTTAATCAATTAGAGCAGCCCTATGCCTCGCCACATTCAAGTAAAAAGTAGAAAAACAAAACAAAAAACAAAAAAAGCAAGACAGATGTCCTCAGGATAAAACAAACGACGATTCCGGCTAGGCCAGATGTGACGCTTCCTCGATAAATGAGGGCGCTCCCGACCAACTGCCAGGCACACAGCCGCCCTGGTGTTCTTCTTCATTGGTGGTTGGAGGTTTCTTTACGTTCGTGTGAGATCAGAGCCATCTTTATTTTTTGGGGAGTTTCTTGCCCTTCTTCAGGACGAGTTTGTTCTTGATGTGTCCTCGCTTCCTCTTGGCAGTCTGCTCAGAGACGGAACAAAAAAAGACACCAGTGTGATCAATAGGGTGCAATCCAGCCAACAGAACCTTCGGGAGTCCAGAGATAGATAACAATTGTGTGGTTAATTATTATTTCATCAATCAAATCAGCATTGTTTTTGTCGGTATGGTGACAAATTACGTCATAGTGATAAGATATTATTTAAGTTCAAGAAGTACACATCAAATTCAACTATTTGTTAATATTTTACCAGTTTGGTAAAATGGAAATGGAAATTTGAGGCCAATCATCATTTTGATACGAGCCAAAAATGAACATGAGTTTGACATCCTTGATTCAGGGAAATGCAAGCAGAGAAAGATCCAAACAAATCTTTCACTTTCAGTACATGGTTGGATGGACAGATGAATGAGTAGAGAGTTAGAGGGAAGAACGGCGAGTTGACAGGCAGGAGATCAGAATGGATGCACAGATGGACAAATAAAAGGACACATACAGAGACGGTTGGTCGTGTCTTTACGGAAAGATAAACGAACAGATTGGTGAATGAACAGACAGATGAGTGGATGGATACGCAAATGAATGATTGTTAGAACATGGAGAAAAACAGATATATAGATGTGAAACAGATGGACACAATGAACAGACTGACAAGTAGATGAATGGATGGATGAGAGTGAAAAAGGACCGACAGGCGATAAACATCATTGGACGGATAGGTACAGAATTTACACTCCCTAAAACACTCATGCTGATCTGGCCTAACGCACATCAATGTTGTTCTGCACAGGCAATTACAGCTGATGCAGAAACATAACATGTCTTCTTATTAACGCAGATGTGTGTGGATCATTGGAGTAAATTATCGAGCGCATTACAGAACTCAAACTACAGCTAAAACCATCTCTTCTGAAAAGAAACACTCACCTTCTTGGAGGTGTACTTCTGCTTGGACACCACGCTGCGGAGCTTGTGGTCCAGAGCCTCTCTGTTCTCCAGCTTCTTCACCTTGTAGATCCTGACGAGCCAGTGCTCGGAGGTAAACGCCTCCTCCAGGTGCTTGAACTTGATGTCCTTGTTGCCGATCTCGGCGTTGCGCGTCCGGTCGAAGCCAGGCGGAGTTCTGAAATCCAGCTGGAAGAAGAACAATGATTTTGTTAAAGCTTTCCTGAGATTTTAAACTCAACTCTACTTCGTAGCCCAAATATTTAGCATATGGCTTTATAAAAGCATTTAATGTTTTACATAAATGTAGTCATCTAGTTGCCCAACTAATAAGAAAGGTTTGAAAAAAAAACAATAAAGATAGACATTTCTTCAGATTTTTATTAATCTGTACCGTTGAGTAGGGATTGAAAACACACTGGTCACTAAATGATGTAAAATATCAGGCTCACAAGAGAAAGACGAGATTTTACCAAAACTTCATAAACAAAATGTTAATAAATTTGCCACAAGAACCAGTAAAAGTACAAATTTCTCTCTTTGCAAGGCATTCTCCAACCGTCAAGGTTTCACAAATAATAACCTGTAATCAGTGTAGAAAGATTTTGTGTAGTTTGACAGTTTGAAATACTGCTGGATCTTTTATGAAGTGGTGCTCATACGGATAACAGCCTTAAAAGCTCTTTGGGTGTTTGCACACACACTTTGTTCAGAGCAGAATAATCCCGTTCTGACTCTACAAGACTAAGCGTTTTAGATTTTGATCAAGAAACGTTTAAATTAAATTCTGAATCCTTAGGAAATGAGTGGAAAAGCTTTTTTAATTTACTACAAACGACAAAATTAATTTGCAAAGTATTGCCCTGACAGCAACTGGATCACAACAATCACAAAGGCCTTTCACAGGAAAGATGTTCGCATAATATCTCAGGAATTTAATGACTTTCAGTCATTTGTGTAACTACCAGAGATAAAATTATGAAATTTTCCTCTCTGTTTGGACCAGAAATGTTAAGAGTATAAGCTTCTCGGCTTCCAACATTTGTGTAAAGCCATAACATTACAATTTTTCTTAGAAATTAAATTTTTTGTCTGGTTTTCTATGAACTGAACTAAAGATTTATCTCGTCCATATAGTTCAGTTCTGAAATGATCTACAGGTGTTTTGTTTGAAGTTTGTACATTAAACTACAGAGGAGAACATTTATAAATCAGCTAATTTTTATTTTCTTTGAACTACTCAAATTCAAAATTTTCTTGCTGATCCCATTTGTACATTAATGGCTCCACATCGGACTTGTGTTGGTCCACTGTGGGTTCTGTTAACTTTTACCAACACATTCAGCTGGACTCAGATTAATGTCTCAACTCCTAATTCGTTGGATAAAAACATCTAAAATAAAGCTGCATCCCAAAGTCGCTGTGCCAAATTAAAACAGATTAAAAATAAAAAACACGGCAGAAACTTAATTGTAAAAGATAAACAGTGTGTGATAACACTTTGGAGTTTCCCCTTGAGCAACAAATCCATTACATTTTTTGTTTGAGCCACTCAAACAACCTCTTGTGTCTGTTACTCGGCTCTAAAAGCCTTTGACGGCTCGTCCTTCAGATGCTGCTGCGTCCTTTCTGCCTCTAATTTCCGAGCTACGGTTACATTCAACATTGTGTTTTTCCTCTTTCTATCTGTGCCCCAGTTGATTCATCTTATCAACTGTGATTCATCTTATTTCTGTTCTCTCTCTGCTTCAGAGGCCAAATATTGTGAAATATTAGAAATGGAGTCTCAGTGTTATCGTGCCAGCCACAGATATTGAAAACCTCACTATCAGTCGGCCTTGTAGCTGCATATCTTTTCTTGGGATTTACACTTTCTAAACATAAAAATAATCCAGGGCACTATTTTTATTGTTGCAATTATTTCTTTATGTTGCCATTTCCAATCACACTGAAACAACGGAGGGTGAAGGTGCCACGGTTTGTTTTGTTCAGCAGTAACTCAATTTGTCGTCGCATTGTATTGTGAAGGTTGTCATCTACAGTTATTTGTTTCAAACCGCAAATTCCCACGACTCCATAAACTGTATAGCTAAGGTTTTTTTCATTTAATGTCTCAACTACTATTTTTTTCTTTCACTGTTTGTCACCATGAGAACATCAATAAAACCTGTGCTTGTCTTTCAAAATATGATTGTGTAGTTAATGAGTCATGATGTTTCAGCTGCTGCATTGAAGTAGCTCATTAAATAGAGGTTTGTTGTTAGGCTCACGCAGTGAACAGAGACAGATTCATAGTCAAAAGTCCGAGGTAATTTCTACTTTTTAATTTCCATATTCTTCATTCTTAGCATCAATAAAGAAATGTTTCAATCTTTTTTTTTTTATAATGTTTCAATCTTTTTTTTTTTATAAGGTATTGCATTTCTTCACATCACAATAGTTTGTGGTATTATAATAATGCCACAAAGTATTGAGATAAAACCTGAAGTCCACTTGAAGTGACTGGCTTGGTATATTCCACACAGAGCATCAGTAAAGTATGTTTAGGATACACCATGTTTCTCTTAGTTTTATTTCTTCTCAGTGATGTGAAACTCTAATCTGCTCCCCAGACGCTCTCCTTCCATCTTCACTTCGGTGTTTTGTCTCTCCTGATAATATTATGAGTTGCTCTGAGCTCCACCCGTCTCTCTCTCTCTTTTTCTCTCTCTTTTTCCCTCTCTCCTGCAGCTGCATTGATTCAGCCCAACTTGTAGGCTGAGCTGCATCTACAGCAAGGATGTAAGCACCTGGCAGGGCGGATATCCCATTCCTCCACCTGAAATCTGCCACGGGAAGCAGTGACAGATTTTTAAAAAGGTTCCTCCAATCCCTCATATTTTGTCTGACAGCCTCCAACACCACATGCCCCCTAAAGCAATTCCTTTAAAATCCCTTTCTGTCAGCCTGCTCTGCTTTGAAACTTCAGTGGCAGGAATCCTTCACCTTTAGTGCTGGCAGATGCCTGTTATTTCCTGCTGAAACCGTGTACTCTAAAATAGAGTGCGGCCGCTCCCTTTGATTGGTGACGGCAGCCGCTTGTTAGGTTTTGATTGCGCCACAGAACCGGAGCTCATTATTTGTAGCCGTGAAGTGGATCATAACACCAATAAAAATTAATCTCCTGGGAGGGAAATTGTTCCTGAGACTTAACCCGTCCCCCAGCAGGTGAAGAAACAATCTGCTGAAATGACTTTTTGTTGACGTTGGTCCCTCACCTGCATCTCCCCAAATCGATAATACGACATCTTGTACATGAGGCAGTTGAGCAGAGTCGGTGAACCGGCTTTGTCCACTCTGAACTCTCCCTGCGGAGTGAAGTAGTCGCTCTCCTGAAAAACAAAAGGAAGCATGAATAATCAGAAAACAAACCCGTAACTGAGCACGTTATTCGCATATTTATTCAACCGTCTTGTTTCAACTTCCAGACTTGAAAGGCATCCAAGAGCCAGAAGCAAATTTAGTTTTATTTATAAAGAGAAAAACTAAAAAGTTTAATTTTTGAATGTTTGTTGAATGATCAAAAGAAGGTGGAAATGTTTCACAGATCATGAAAATATCAAATTATTTCTCATTAATTTTCTCTAGTTGAAGAAAAATCTTAGTGTGCATGCAAAAGATCAGCACAAGGGAAATGCATCAGAAGAAAAACTTTTCTGATTAATGGTTTTAATCGTGCATTATAGTGAGTATTAATTTTAATACATTCAATGAATGAAAAAGGAATGTACAAAAATGTAATGTAAAAATAAACATTGGTTTACTTTATATAAGAAGCTATTTTCATTTTAGCTAAATCCTGAAATCCAGCAGGCAGGCAAAGAATCTTTTTGTGAAAAGTTCAAACCCAAATATCAGTTCAAGCTGCATTTTATCAACATTGAATAGAATACTGGATTATGGATCCAGTGGATGCCAGGTATCCACAGAAGGTATGGAGCACAGCTGCCATAAATCCACAAATATTTAAAACACCATTTAAAAACACTTATAAGTGCCTGTTGTAGTTCAGACACTAAGAACACCTTCATAAGCATCAATGCGCACACTGGAAACCATCTTGGCAAAAGCTAATGTCTGCAGTTGTGCTTATCTCTGCTCTTGGGGTTTACAGCCAATCACCACTGTAGAAAATAAATGTCTCTCCTGGATTGGCTTCTTTGGAAACCCAGCCAATCTTGAGTCAGGTACCACTTTCTTTTGACTATTTTAGATATGCTTTAGGATAAAAAAAGAAAATGAGCAAATCTGCAAACTTTCCACACATAATTAGGAGTCAAGTTGTTCAGAAAATCCCTAAAATGACAGGAACCCACTGTTTTCGTAGGAGCTTGGTTGCCAACAACCCTAATAGACTTGGGCAGCTTCACACCAAACTGACGGCTATAATGTTCATGAAGGCCGAACTGCTGAACTGAAAGATGTTCAGTTCACTGGTAAAGATGTTAAATCTTCTGTCAGCAATGCCGTTTTTTTGAATCAAATCAGGCAAAAAAAAAAAAAAAAAAAAAACGAACCCAGCTTCCTTCAAGTCTAATAATGCGTCTTCATTCATCTGAGTCATCAGAGATGCATGTTTTCTTTTTCTTGTGGCCATTTCCAACATGAAACATCAATCTCTCACGCTGTTGCGTTTTTGTTCACAGACAGTTACCGCCATCCCTCACTCACTCACCCTGATGTCTTTGGGGTGCTCCCCTTCAGCGATCCTCACCATCCACAGGAACTTGTTTATATCGTCGCCGGAGTAGCCGATTACTCCTCCGAATATGATCAGCACGTAATCCACATCCAGTGACCTCATAATCTCGTAGGCCGCGCTCTCATTGGACGACATGGCTTTCCCCACCTGAAAACATCAACAACTGGAGTTAGACTTTAATTGGCGTTTCCTGTTTTGAAAAGACGCCAGGCTTCAATACTGCAGGGGCAGAGAGGAGAATTATTGAACAGAAATACAATCATGTATTCTCTGTAATTACATTTCCTGTGGATAGACGCTGCAGAGACGAGAGACAGCAGGTAGAAAACAAGACGGAGCAGAGCTGGAGGGCTTTAAGATTTAACTAAGAGATGAAAACATTTGTCTGCATTCTGCAGTTTAAAGAAAGAAAAATAAATCAAAGCTGAAAAAATCTGACAAGAATTGACTTAAATTTCTCTCATTGAAAATTCGGCAGAACAAGTTTAAACAAGTGATGATGCATAATGTGGCAATTACATAAAAACTCACTGAAGAGCTGCAAACGATTCAGTTGCAGGAAGAGGAATGCATTCGTGTCTCTGGATAAAAGAACAACATTAGACAGAAACAGGGAGTTTTTACCAGAGCTATATGACTGTTGTTCCATGTGTTGTTATCAACAAGTGTGGTTCTGTTGGCCATGCCAGCTATCTGGTATCCGTAGTCCCACCATGACATCACGCGCGCGTGCTCGTCTGTATTCTGTCTCAACCAATAATAAGCCTCTCGGAAGTCGTCAAGAATATTACGAGTCCTAAAGGGAAGAAGGAAAACAAGTAATCACACCGACAGGAAGGAGGACTGTGCAGAAAAGTGTCGATATCTCCTGAGGTTTACAAATTTTCTTGTGTTACAATCACTAACCGAATGCGACCTGGGCACATCTGAATTCTATTTTGCCCATAACTTCATAAAACTGATCAAGTAGAGACAGATGTGATAGAAAGTATCTATGGACGTAAATTTTTCAGTCTTGCCCAAAGTTTTCATCCGGACCTGGACTTTGACTAGGCCACTTGAACCCGAGTACACTTTTATGGAAACTATCCCACGACAGCTTAGGGTTGCTGTCCTGTTGAAAGGCAAACCTCTGCTCTGGTCTCAGCCTCAAATGGGAAAACACATCTCAAAAACGTTGTACTGTTTTAATTCTCCATCATGATTCTACTCTTTGTGTTTGCAGCCAAATATCCCAATACAGACGTTAAAGTTTGCTTTTATAATGTGAAAAAGTTCAAGGCAATTTATGCCTGCAGGAAATATTCATGTTTTAAAACCAGGTGCTTCTTCACAAAGAGGTTTCCATCTTAATGAGACTTATTTGCATAAATAAGGGACATATTTAGTTACGGTGTTGAATCAAAATGGCAACATCTTATACAAATAACTCTTCATAATCAATTAATAAGGTGTTGGTTATTAAATTTACCTCACGAAGACAAGTTAATTAACCACATGGTTTATTCATTCCATTAAATCTGTGCGTGTGTATGTGTACAAACGTGTGTGTATGCATACATCCAAAACGAAGAAGCAAATCTGACAGGCATGTAGCCAAGAATAGCATGATTAAACAATTGTCTGTGCTCCTACAGCAACGTTATAAATTTATGCATGAGAACTTGTGGGTCCACCATTTAGCCTTCAATATTTCTTCCTAGGGACTTTAAAAGAATAATTAGGCCTTTGAAGCATGGCAGAGAGAATAATATATGAGCTTTTTACAAATTCAGAGAAGGTCCACTGGTGTTTGCGTTAACCTACAGAATCCATGTTAAACAATATATCATATCTTCCAGGGACACATCAATATTTCGATACAGCTCATGAAATATACATGTGCATGAACCCAAAGCTCTGTGCAGTCCTGCATACATACACATGTGCTAACTTGCAAACAATACATTCAAATTGGTCTTGGTGCAGTATGAACCATCAGAGCTGCTGGCAGTTATGGGATCTCCAAAAACAGAGCGACGCGTGGCTCTCACCCGTCATGGTTGTATGACGCCAGCACCACGCTGGGACTGGAGTAGGCATTGCTGGTCACCCAGGTGCAGTGGACGGCGAACATCATGAGCAGCATCAGCATGAGCATGGTGACGATGGACTTGATGTTGGGACCCAGACCTTCCTCTGCCTTCTCCTGCTCAGACACATGCTTGCGCACCTTGCCCGCCTGCAGGGGGAGACACGCGCTCTCATTACAGACGAAAAAATCCAAAGGCTTCCAGAGATATAAATTATTTAATGACATGCATTATTAATTCGTCTAAATGAGCGAAGTCTTTTGGAGTGTCCACAGCTTTTTTGTGCTGTGTGAAGACGTGTCAGAGAACTGCTGCGTAAAACGCTATGATGAGTTAATATTATTTTACAGCTGAAAATCATGGCTCACCTGCAGAGGAAGACTGTAAACTGTAAATAAGCACAACTCCATCCTCTGAGATGAAAACGCAGAGTTTAAATCAAGAAAGAAAAATGTAAATGACACAAAAATCAGATATTTCCGGGTGGTGAGATGTTAAACTGAAACTAACACATGTACTGCTATTGCTGCTTTTCCTATAAAACATAAAGCAAAGTGTAAAAAAAAACTGGCTGTGGTTTTTGTGAAACCAGCCTGCAGCTTTTGTGAGGAAGAATAAACGTAAAACTAAGATTTATCGCACAATCTAAATAGTTATGCTGCTTAAGGCTCCCAGAGCAGGAAGACTTGAAATTTTTTTAGCAATTTATTTTTTCTTGCTACTTTCCAACGATGCAATATTTGCCGTTTCTGCTGGAATTTACTCAGAGTTCTGTGTTCTTTCTTCCAAAGATACAGATCCCTGGCTCAGTTCTTCCATGTCTCTTATTTTACAGCCACTGATGGAGATTCTGCTGGCATTAGCACCGTTTATCTCGTCTGTTTTGTTCCTACAGAAAGTACTCTAATTTCCCTGCTTTCTTGTTTGGCAAGGTCTCTTTCTTGGACAGAATCTAAAAACTATTACTATTAGCAGCTTCTTTTTCCACTAATGCACCCTCTTTTATGATTTTATGTTAAGTTGCTACTGCTGCTATTCACTCGATGGATTTTATTTCTCATAGAGAGTACTCTTGACTCAAGTGTTCCTTTTGTTTTAGTCTCTCCTTTCTGTTGACATCAGCTATGTAAGTGTAGATTTTTCTCACTCATTGCAGTCGTTTCAAAACTCATCCAAAAAGCTTCTTTACTTATGCCATCAGGTTTGTTAATAGCACTAATAAGGTCTTTTAAGGTCACCCGAGTCACCGGTCCTACCATCCATTCAGTTCAAAGTTTGAGTCTTTTTCACTTAACTGAAACTTGATGTTTTGATCACGTCTCAGGTGTGAAAGGCTATTAAACTGATTCAAGGCAGCAGTGTAGGTGTTAGAAAGATGAAACCTGAGGCCACGTCCTCTGCTTAGACTTGCTTTATCACGGTTAACATAAAAAGCTTCTTTCCCTCCACTCTAGAACCACCTTCCCTATCAAAAAAGCGCATGTTGTTGCCTTCTAAAGGCTGTCATTGTCCTGCAGAAGTAGATGAACTGCAAAGACCATATAAGCCGGATCTTCAGTGTTGGGTCAGCATTTTGTGCAGCTGCTGCTTAGTTTCTCGCTGAACTGGACTTGATACTTATCCCATCTGAGTAGGTTTGGTTGTTTTACCCTTGGCTTGAACCAGTATTGGACAGCGGGGTTCGCTTTAAAATTCCCCGGAATACACACTCCTGCTTGGATACTTTCAAAATACAAGAGACGTAAAATAAGCAACCTACCTTAAACATAAAGTCTAACACTAAGCTCAGGATGTGGCTGTTCGTCATCTTTCTCACACCTACTGTGCAGCCTGGAAAGGTTACAAGTCTGACACTTAGAAACCAAAGTCTAGACATGAAGGAGTGTTTTAGATCAGAACTGAGATCTCGTCAAAGAGGTGTTGTCCAGATTCTTGGTAATTAAGCACTTCGTCTTTCTTTTTCTTTCTGGTAGAAGGTGATCCTGTTCCAGAGCTTCTGTGTTCTGCAGGATGAATTCACTGAGAGTTATTGGTATCATTAACTTTGTTTACTCTGTACTACTATCCTATGAGTAAGACTTCCTATTCGGTGCTTCTGTTCTTAGCCATGTCTCCTTGATGAAATAATACATTATTTTTCCATTTTCAGAGAAAGTACTCTATGCATCAGAGTCTTTTGTTTTTCTTTCCTACTGAAAGTCCTGTTGATTCACTGTTTCTGTGTTCAGCCATTCCTCTGGGAGTCTTTGGTTAAAAAAAATGGCTGCCTCAAAAATGTCTTTTTGAGGCTTCCTCACAAAGACAACTGGCATGGATCTAAATATGACTGGTTTTGTAATTTTCTTTGAAGTAGACTATGTAATTGGATACAGATTAACAATGTCCTTCCGTCCATCCATTTTCTGTACACCCTTGTCTCTAATGGGGTTGGGAGGGCTGCTGGTGCCTATCTCCAGCAAATGGGTTCATCCTGGACAGGTTGCCAGGGCAAGATTGACAATATGAATGCCATAATGGATTGATTTTAATCCAATCCTAAAAACTGGATCCATTTGTCTAGCAACGTGCTTTGATATAATATTGCATTTAGCTAAGCTATAAGCCCATTTGAAATGAACAGAACCTAAATTGTGGCAGTTTACTGGCATTTGTAATGAGATCTCGAGCTGCTGTGCGTGATAAATGTTTGGCTTTCTGATTTGATGAGAAGAGCTTGTACTTTCTTCACAGGTTGCTCTTGTGGAACAGACCCATTACCTTGATTAAACCGCCTGAATAAATAAAACTTAATTAAGGGCCTAACTAACCGAATGTAAACAGGACTACTTCAGAGGACAGAATCCTTTAACAAACAAGATTTCTCAGGACGGCACGTTGGTGATGCTGAATGGTTTGCTCATAAAAGTGTTTACGGTCTCCCTAAATTAAGCTGTCAATATAAACAATGCTTAAATTCTAATGTTCTGTTTCATTCAATGTATTTAATGCTTAATTAGATGCTCTCAATTACTGCGTGTGCATGCTATATATGCAGAGTAACATGTATTTTTATAGGCATTTACTTGGTTTACAAGACTTGTTCCTTAAACATAAATACCTCCAGGAAAGCGTTACTGGGGTTGTGGGGTGGGAAGAACCTTTCCAGGTCTTATTTTTTTAATTACTGTTGTGAAATGATTCGAGAACGCGCTTCTAAATTCAACAAAGTGAGCCGACTAAGAGGATGGAAACAACATGAACTGTAGCAGCCGAGTCATTGCTGAATCACAGTTTGCTCAAACAGTCGGGGAGCAAGGAGAGATGTGTCAATACATTCACACTGCAAAGGTTGTGATGAAACCTCAGCAGTTCATTAACACCCAAACATACAGGTGCATCCAAGTCAGTTTATTTCTGCTGAAAACTCAACACAGTTAGGTTTAATATAGATCTATTGCACAAAATTTGGTATATTTGAAGTGTTTGTTTTGAATTATGTTTTTTTTTTATTAGTCCTATCAAGGACTTGTAAAGACCAACACAGAAATGTTGACCTCCGAATAGCCGAATACAGTATATGTAAACAAAATTGTTTGTAATGCTCTATACAGTCACTGGGAATACTGATCACATGACAATCCAGCAGACAGTTATTGACACACAGAGGCTAACAAGCTTTAAGGAGAAGTTGATTTCTTGGTCCAGCTGGGCTTGACACCGACCCTCACTGCCAAAAGCACCAACACTGGCCTTAATGATGATCAACCTGTCTGGTCAGTAAGGTGGCTTCACCATTTATGTCATTTTTAGATTCAAGTATTAACTTTCTCTTAAACATTGCCATCAAAGACAACACAAACACTGGTAATATTTCACATTGTGTGCAATTAGTTCCCTTTACTTTTGAATTACTACAAAAATAAAGCTCTGGGTTTTTCCAGCAAGACTCGCCTTGTCATAAAGATTCCCAGAGTTCCTCTTGTCGTCCTCGTCGCTGCTATCTTCAGCAGGCGGCTTCTCCCTCTTGGTGTCGTCTCCCATGTAATGCTCAAAGACGCTGGAGAACGCCACAGCAGACAGCATGCACACCACCGGAGTCAATGTCAGCATGAGCCTCACCATTACTCCAGCAAAGTACACTGCACTGATGGCGTATAGGGCCACTGGACAGGCAGAGAGAAGAGAAAGGAGGGTAAGAAATCGTTTGAAGCAGAACAAAAAGGTCAGATGAGGATAAACAAGGTCTGAATGTAGCTGAACAGAGATAAACCTGCAAAATAAAGAGACTGGGCAGTAAATGTCGGGCAGCATAATCAGTCTTTGCATAACCCTGAACAGAGAGTACAATGGCTGAACATTATCCTTGCCCAACCTGCTCTATAGGTGCACGGCTAATCAATAACTGTTATTGGTTAATTAGCTGCTGAACAGAGGCAGACTGCAATGATCCTTTTCTTAAGAACTAAAAATCTGCCATCCTTTGGGGGCCCCAAGTGTCTTTCACTGCAAACACAAAAAGTTTTGTGAAGATGCAGTCAGTCGGTCGGTCTGCTTAAAAGCTTAAATAACTTAACACTTAACAAGCAGCTGAGTCACACAACAGGAGGCTGATTTATAACCCCATGCAAATCAAAAATATTCTACCAAGGCATGTAAGGACAACCAATATCCACTGCAGAATGAGGGCTTTCAGTTCCATCCTGACATAAATGAAGACCCTGTGGTGGAAAAACATTTATTTCATCAAGAACAATGAAGCACCTGTCAGCCTAAAGTTCACAAAAACTCCTCAAGCTAAAATATGCCTTCCAAACTGCCAAGATGTGAGTAACGTGACACTGGCTGCTGGAAGGAATAAAACGTTTAGCGCAACCTCTAATGTGAAACTTTTCTACTACATGCATCTACATAAAAAATTTTCATATTTCACATATACATCAATTGCCAGATTTTGTTCCAAGAATCATTTGAAATTCGAACAGTAAAGGAAAAGATTAACATGCAGCAGGGCTTGCTGCAGTCTGTTATTAATGTCAGTCTCAAAGTATATTAGGGAAGAGAGTTTGTTACACGAAGCTTCTCTGTGTTTCTTCTGCAGCAGGTTTTGTCGAGTGGATTTGTACGAAACTGTAAATGTCACTTTAGTTTCACACTATTCAAAATCGGTTACCACAACTACATATAATTAATGATGTTGACAGTATTAATGAGTCGGCATTAATACTTTTAGGCAAGAAGTAATAATGGATGTTTTCTTCCTTCCTTGCTGTGTGAGCATAAAGTGTAATTGATTGACTAGTGGATAAAGCTTCTGATTGACTATTAAATGAGCCTGATTATGAATGATTTTCAAAGTTTGATGTGGTCTTAAGAATAGGAATACTTCAAATTAGGTGAAGACAAACTACAGGTTGGAACAGTCTGAAATGTTTCACTACAAACCACAGAACAACAAGAGCAAAGCACAGAGAGCTGCTGCTGAGCCCACAGAAAAACAAAACCATCGCAAGTTTTTTTTTTTTTTTAAGCTAGTAACTGATATATAGAAAACTTTGATATGTTTATCCCTACACATTTCCCCTAAATAAGTGTTTCTAGAAACATCTGATTCTCAATTTGCTTTCCCCTGTTCTAAATTAATTTAAGACCAAATGACATCAAGAACATCAATGATGAACCAAAATGACAAATCTATAACTGGCTGCACATAAATACTACATGCAGCCAGTTTATGAAAGTCTCAAGCTACATAAGCTGCATTAGGGAGGCATAGTCTGAATGTAATATTTAGAATAAAGGGTCTGTAGGAGTTTAGTCTTTTGGATAATTAGTTGAGACATTTTTCTTTGTTTGCAACAAGTTTACTGATTTATTTTTTCATGCTGAAATTGATTGCCAACAACAAACACAAGAACACTGAATAATATCTGCAATTAAACTGTGGTGTGTTTGGTCTTAAACTCAACAGGAGAGGTTTTCCAGAGCTGAAGAAATGGCTGCATGTAAGACAACCAGCTCCGTCTCTTAATTATCTACACCACAGAGCTGTATGTTGGTTTGAGTTCTGCTTGTAGCTGGTTTGACATGTTGAAAGCAACCCGGGCAGCTGTATTGAGCTCTACTATTATTAACTTATGAGCAAACATTCTGTATTCTATCTGGCTTTGTCTCTGACTGTGGTTTTGAAGGTTTCTCACTAACTGACAAAACAAAGATACATTCTCACTATGTGCAATAGTAGACAATAGAAGCCTACAATACGTTAAGGGCTGACCAATTTTTATAACTTCGTCTAAAGTTTGATAAAATCCAAAGTTTGAAGATCATATAATCAAAAATAAATCTTCTAAAGCATTGAAGTCATCATTGTTTATTCCTCATAAACATCAATACCTGTTTGATTTATTAAAAATATATGGAGTACATCTCAGCTCGTCTGAAAATAATGGATTCAGCATCGCAGTTTTTAGCAAAATAAAAAATATTTGCAGAAACCAAAGCAGGAGTAAATAAACTGAAAGCAGCAGAAGCAAAATACACAGACAGCTCACATTGCAGCTCAACGCCACAGGTCAAATTAAGGTTTTATGATGTAAATATTTAAAATAAATAAATAAAATAAAAATCTTCGCACCGAACACGCGTTCATCATTGATGTTCTTGATGCAAAACCAAAGGCCTGCTGGGAAGGTGCAGACCAGGATGTGCAGATCAAAGAAGAAGGACACCCACGTGGTGGGCTGGTGCTCCGACACCGATGCAATGATGGGGATGTGGATCTTAGCGTAACTATGGAGACATGAGAGGAGGAAAACACAGACAGGTTATAATTATAATTTATGCACCCTCCCTGAAAACAAAACAATTACACAACAGATCTTCTGATCAAGGATAAAATATGAAGAATCATTTCTACTCTGTATACTAATCAGATTTAATATGATTATGGTAAATCAGATTGAATTAACTCTAATTTCAGATTTCATTTAGCCAAAAATGAAAACTGTCAATAGCTTTTGTGCACACAGTGAAAAGAAAAGGTATTTGGCCCTTAGATATTATTTGTGTTTTTGCCATTTTTGATCACATTTAATGTTTAAAAATCTAAGAAATTCTATAATATGAAATAAAGAAAACTTGAATTAATGCAGTTTACATTTAGAAACTAAAATGGCTCTATGTAAGAAAGTCTTTATTAAATTATAAAACATCTGATTAACCACATTTTTAAATCACTTTCATAGCGATGTTGAAGTCTGATTATCTTATGAATGTTTTATTCTTCAGGTCTGCAGTCAGACCTGAAGAATAACCCTTTCTTCACGTATTATTGCAGGTATTTATTTGCAGAAAGTGAGAAATGGTCAAAATAATGAAAAATATGCAGCGCTTTCAGACCTGAAATAATGCAAAGAAAACAATCTAATTTTCAGTTAGAAAAACAAAAGTAAAGTTTTAACTCAGGAAGAGTTCAGAAATCAATATTTGGAGGAACAACCAGGAGGTTTTCAATGGGGTTCAGTGCAGTGGTCTCTGTGAGCAGGATCTAAAAATATTATTTTAAATATTCAAGCGGTTTGATGTTGCAGCTTGAAAAACTAGGATAGCAGATTTTCTTTCTGGAAGCACAGAGCTTAAAAAAACAGAACAAACAAAATATCCCCATTTTCCTTATTTCAGCAAGTTAGAGTTTAAGGGATTGCTCGCTTGTGCTGGAAAAATCCCACACTTTGCAGAGCATCTGGAGAACAGGAAGTGCCTCGTGCATTGTTCAACACGGCATGGATCAGCAGCGTTTTTCCTCCAGGGACGATGCAGGACGGCTTTGTTGCCGTCTCAGAAAACAAATGCACACACGCTGTTGACTGGACAAGTGTTCCATCGACAGGTGGGAGTGTGAAGGTCAGCAGAGCTTACCCGGTGTCCCAGAGTGAGTAGAAGCGACCGCTCCATGGAGCAATGTATCCTGCAGACAGGAGAGACGATCAATAAGGTAATGCTTTTGTGTTAATGCTTTTTATTACACACTTGACATGCAAGGGCTGCTTGGAGGTGTGAGAAAGGTTTGCTGAACTATATTAATCTGAAGTGGAACAATAAAAAGTTCTTAAAACTATGAAAACATTTGGTTGCTCTTTAAGCAAAATAATAATTGCAAGAAAAACTAACAGGACAGTTTGGGTCTATTGTTTCAGCAACACTGACAGCAGAGAATACACATATAGTCTGAATAAATAAGTAACTTCACAATAGAAACTATTTCCTCATTTTATTCAAAGCAGAACAATTGGGCAATTGGAAATGACAGGATGGAAACCAAACCTTTTTACTAAATAAATGTGGGTCAAACTAAAATGACAAACACACTGCCTTGTATCGACCATCAGACCATTTTTAATTTTAAAAGACGACAAGTGCTATTTATAAACTCGCTTCTTTTCACTCCATTTGTCATTAAGACATTCCTCCCATTTATTTAGCTCTGCCCTACAGATAAACGACAGGAGACAGAGATTTGATATGCAGCTCAGCATCAAGAACTCTGCTGTCTCTGCTTTCTAATTAACAATAATACCAACAATACCTGGGACTCAAAAAAATCATTAATAACTTAGTGACTTAAAAGGTCCAGTTTCTCCTAAGCAAACAATCATGCAGCTTAATAGTATTTAAAAAAATATCTGTTCTCAAGGATGGGATCAAATCTGGAAATAAAACTGGGAACGAATTTCAAATTTGTACCAACCAGTAAAGCTAAACTACAAATTGTTTCAAAGTAATATAGTCTGTGTCAAAAATAACATACAATTAAGCAATTTTTAAATGGAAAAATTCAAGTATTTTCACCTATGTAAAAAGAACTGCACTGTAAAATTACAAGATTAAATTGAATTTAAAGCTCTTGTATGCAAAACGTTTTCAAACAGAAAGTTATCTCTTCCAGTTGAGGTTTTCCTCTGGTACTAAACAAGCTACCTTGGTATTTGCAGAAATAATTAGAATTCATCTTTCTCAAAGTATCTGTTGTTAAAAAATTAATTAAAATAAAACTCAAATATCGACTAAAGTGAAACATGAATAGCAAGTCCAGTAGCGGTGAACTGCAGAAAGCAATTGGAGCCTAAAGACAAGAAATCCTTCAGTAGAGAACACATTTTTGCTCAAAATATATTTTATTGATGCTATTTAATTAGTGGAATTGACTTGTTTTCAAATGTAAGTGAAACCATTTAAGTTGCAAATTAGACCTCACAGGGCATTTACAAATGTCTCTTAGTTAGGCTTTGATCTAGAATATATTCCAGCTCAGTTTCCTGAGGGTTGTTGGAGCCCAAACAAATTAAAAATGGTACACACAGACACTCTCTAAGGTTCTTGAAATCTTAACACCATCATTTAGTCGTACTCTGTCCTGTAGCCGTTCTTCCGCTCAGGTAGTTAAAAGAAGATGGAGAGCTCTCTAAATGAGACGTTACAGAGCTGTAAACCAAACCAGGCAAGAAAAGAGATGAAGAAAAGCAGCAGGAATATAAATGGAGACACTATGAGGCGATTCATAGGTTAGTACTGATTTAACCAATCAATACTTGGCTCAGTAGTAAAGATACTGACAGGGGAAAAATACAGTTCCTGTCTTCTGACTCTGAAATGAAAGTTTGATAGACAGGACTGAGTAGGTAGTGTCTCAGTGACGAACTGGCACCCTGCACCCAACAGTCAGAGTCCTACTGCTAAATTCTGATGGCAGACAGACGGCAATGTTTTACCAGACGAAGCCAGTGTCCAAGTGACAGAACGTCTGCATGCATGCGAGTCAGCAGTCCGTATGCAGGGCTCTACCATCTGTCTGCACTTAGAGAAGTCCTGGACAAGCTGTATATATTATGCTGAGTAGCAGAACACTGAATCTTAAATGTCGCAGGCGAAACTTTGCAAACAAAGTTTCCAGATATCCAAAGGAATTAACTTTTTCACTTTCACTTTAGGATGTGCTGCTGGGCGAAGCACCATTGGGTGAGAAAAGATGAGGGGACGATTTAGATCTCTAGGTCAGGCAAATTTGAACTTTAAAGTCTGAAAGAAACAAATAAATACGCTGAGAAGAGGAATATTAAAGTTCAGAATAATGGCCGCAGCGGGATGAAATGTCTAGGGAAAAACATCAACATGCCCAAAGTTCACCCAGCTGGCTGCAGATGCAAAAAGAAAAAAACAAGCATTGAATCATTCACACACACACACTAAAAAAAATTGATTCAAAGCTTTAACATTCATATCTGTTTATGCTTGTTTACTATTTTGCCTTCCAAGTGTAATTTTCAGACACAGAATGCTGATTAGCAGCCCACTGGGAAAGCCTGCAGGTCACACCAGGAATGAGTGCATGGCAGCAGAATAAAGCTCTGAAATGGCTCTGAAATGGCTTAAATACCAGGTCTGAATCGCCATCAAGAAAATTTTAACTCAATCTGCCCAGAAAAACTGTCTTCCAACCGCAATACAATTTCCTAACCATAGTTGTTAAAATTATGTGAAAAAGATTTGTTTATAGTACTTTGTTTATTTTAACCATCTGTATTTCTGGAATGAATCTTTAGCAATAAAATCCTTTTTATATCTTCACCTTACTGTAATGCATGAGGTCTGCTGCTTTACTAAAAAAAAAAGAAAAAAAAAAAGCTGCAATAAGTTATATTGGAAAAATATATATTTTTACATTGTGTCATCTAAAACTGCTGAGCGATATTGCAGAGCAAATGCAAAAGTTCCTCACAGCTCAACATTTCATTTAATAAATTTCCAGGATGTCAGTTTTGGATGTATGAAAAAAAAGAGTGTTGTGGTCTGAATTTATACTTATAATAACCAGAGGCTGCAGGATAAAAAGATGGATATGGAACACTCTGTATCTTAGATGAATGGATAATTACAGGAGAAATAGAAAAATATGTTGTCTATGACTTGATAAAAAAAATTGTTTAAATAAATCTAAAAACAAACCTGTGTAGGTGAGATAGATGACTGTGAGGAAGACAATGCAGGCGGCGAGAGAGATCCCCAGGAAGAACAGTGTCTGAAACTCCTGCCGGGTGAGTCTGTCCTTCAGGTACTGCAGGAAGGCGTAGGCTTGCAGAAGAGCAAACACACCTGAGAAAAAGGCACAGGCAGACATAAAAGATTAAGCAAACATCCAAAGGAAACTCCAGCTGAATGTTTGAGGAGGCTCTGATTGATGCCGCCTCCTGCTGGGTACAAAGTGGGTTAGTCATTTCTGCAGAGTTCCCACAAAGACGTCCATGAGATCCCCCTTGGCTAGCCAGGCAGATGTTAAAGACTAATACCTCAGGACAACATATTTGAAATTCATGAGACATATCTGTGTAAATATGCCCGTCTCTTTGCTTGCCTTATCTTCATTTGCAGCCCGTCAGTCACACTTTGCATTCAGACTTTCTTTGGGTCGTTCTCTCCATCACCTCCTTGCTTGTCTGGACTGTTCCACGCATAAAACAGAAACGAAAGAGCGACCTGGTTTCTCCAGTTTGCATCACCTTCCATCCATTCGGAAACCTTGCGTGAAATCCCCCCCCCGTGCCTCCCGCACTCCTCCGTTACGCAGCCACTGGCAGAAGAGCTGCTCTCCCATTTCCACGGTTACGTTCCTGCCCGTCTCCTGGAGGGCAGCCGTGCTGCTAACATGCTTGTCAGTCTCTGGCGTGCTGCTTTTCCCGCCTAAGTGGGGCAATGTCCCATTGGCCCTGGTGGGTCCGTGACTCAGACACTCCACTTAGGTCCCACTGAGCTCCATGAATGCTGCCACCAGATGTTCTAAGCAGCTGCTACCTTGATGATACTGAAACACATTTTGCTCTCTAAGAGAGACAGGAGCCAAAACCAGGGGATACATTTTTTAAATGTTTTTTTTCTTTTTCTTTTTTCCTCTCGTGAGGCTGCCAGTGATAAAAACGGGGACACTTCAATGTGCACCTGCTGCACCGTTAAGAAAATTCTCTCGTAAAAAAAGGGCTTTACTCCATTTTCAAAAGGTGCCAAAAAGCAAACATGAACGGATGAATGGAGCACTTGCCAATGTATTCATTGCCGTTTCCTAGGCAGCAGATGGGCCCACTTGAGAGTTGAAACTCGGCAGGCTTTAATAAAGTTCCCAAAAGCAAAACTGGAGAGCACTGCACATGAGTGGCAGGCAAGGGTGCTTTGTTGTTTCTTCTTTGGAAATGTACCTTAGATCACTTTTCTCCCACAGAGAGTGATTAACGCTGAGGAGGAATTTGCACCCGATACATCCTGAAGAAAGTCAACTTGTTGGTTAAAAATAATACAAGAATGTATTTACATTCCTGGGAGTAACAAAAGTTAAAATGAGAAAATCCAAAAGGAGTGATGTGCATTCATCGCTGTGCATATTTAATCATTAGTCTGCCTAACAGAAAACAGACTGTTTCCACTGTGCGTATTAATTCATATTTAGGTGTATTTAGTGTTTGAACTGCTAAACTATGACTATGGAGTCTCAGATAGTCATTGATTTTAGCTATTCTGTGTTTGTTGACTCGCACAGGTATGTGCGAGTCAACTGTATTAAAAATAAAATCTTTAAGTTTATTTACTCAATGTAAAGAATGCACAGATATCATATTGGTAACCATGCTTTCAACACCTTTGACCAGTAAGACGGAACTTTATGTAGAGATTTATCGACGCTGGGAGATTCAGAGAGATATTTGAACTTTGCACTCTCTGGAGAGTCCAGGGTCCTGTCTTCTGCTCTCTTCATCCAACTCCACAGGTTTTGTAAAGGATTTAGCTCAAGAGTCTGATATCTCCATTGAGGAAGGAAGACTAAACATCTACTTCATGTAGGAGGATTTTGCAGGATCTCTGATACACTCCCCATTATAAAACTCCATCCTTTTTGTTGTCAGCGATCATGTTAAAAACAACTATTTCTTAAACTGCCATGTGTTTCCTCCCTCTATAAATGAACTCAAAGAAATCTCTAAGAAAATTCATTAAAAACAAAAGGCCACACAATATCCTTGCTTCTAAAGAGGGAGGGTCTTACCTGCAGCAGCCATGTGTTCGCTGGTCCTGATTGGCTGAAAGCCGACAAAAGGGACCTGCATTGACAGTATGAGCCCCACGATGTAAAAAGTGCTGTAGGCTGAGAAAAGACAAAATAAAGCAGAAGGAGAAACAGAGGGGACAACAGATAAGACATCCAACAATGAAAATAAATTACAGCATGAAAAAAGCCATTACTGCACTCCAGTTCTGCTCCCACTACGGGGGAAAATCAACCTCAATATAGGTGTTTAAAGTCTATTGATTTTCACTGCCGTACCTCATAGGGAGTAAATACAAAATAGCTAATCTAATGTCATTTGCTGAGAAAATGGGAGTTGGCTCGGCACAGTGTGGCGGGGGGGCCTGGCGTGCGCCCAGGCAGACAGGAACGATGCGACTCCCGCCTTTTTGTGGCTTGGAGGGGGGAACAGATTCTCAGACACACCAGCTTAATTAAGATTTCATACTCTTCCTGAAGAGTGATGCTCGTTTTTGAAGTAGCTGTATCTGCCCTCCTGCAATCCCTTTTTCACTCATATGCTATTGATTCAAGTCAGAAAAAAAAGACAAATTGCCAAGGAACATAACCTACAAGCTGTTTAATTAAAGTAGGAGATTTTTTTGTGTAGGGTCCTTATTTGAGATGGAGAGAGAGACACCTGCTTCTGAAAAAGGAGCCATGATACAAAGCAAAAGTAGGAAAAAAAGGGTAAAGATCTGGAACCAAAAATTGTTTCCATCTTAAAAATATGCCTTTAAATTCATCTCTGTTGCTCATTTGCTGTCAAATGGGGTACAAGGTTTCTGAATTATGCTCAAGCTGCAAATATCTAAGAAAAAAAGTCAGAAATAGGAAATTTTCCACCTCATCAAACATCATTTCACTTTTGAAGAGCTGTTTGAAGATAGAGTAAAGGTACGCCAAACCCTCTCACTGCAAATAGACCATAATGTACTTCATATCTCTCAAACACTATGCTTTGTGAGTACAACTAATAGTCCATGCATGGATGATGCTCGACACCGTCTCATTTATCTTGACCATGAAAGGGGCCTGCTGTGAACTCATGCCTACTGCGAGCTGACAGCTTCGATGTGGAGAGACTGGAGGAGGGAGTTGGAGTTATCTGAGCTCAGAGCTGCAGAAAGATGCAGCGCCTTGCAAAACTATTCAAACCTTTTTTTTTTTTTTTTTACAATTTTGTCACATAAGAATTGCAAAGTGTAATGATTTTTGGGGGGATTTTATGTGATAGAGCAACAAAGAAGGATATCACAATCTATTGTATTTTTGGTTTTGGTTGTAAATTGTCAAACTTTTATTTCTTGATATGCTAAAACTATTCATCCTTTTTCTTCATCTTTACAGTTTGTGTTTGTCTAGAATAAATATGAAAGTGAGCAAATGTGTAAAAGTTGAGGTGGTATGAATGCTGTGAGTGGAACTGGGATGCTAGGAGCTGATTTGCGCAAAGAAAGTGAAGGGGGTCAGGTAGCAGGTGGCTGATTTTACTGTGAAGAGGCGTGTGGGTGTGTGGATGCCTGCCATGCCGATGATGAAACGCCTGGGGTTATCAGTAATGACTACAGGCGTCACTGGGCCCTGAAGCCTGTTGTGGGGGTCAAATGCTGGGGGGCAACAGTGTTTGGAAACGCCTGTGGATCTCCTGTTTATTACACACATTTCTGTTCCGCATGGAAAGTCTCAAAACAATGTCTGGATCTCACACACCATTTGTGGGGGTGTTTTACATAGCAGGTCAGACAGACAAATATATATTTTGATTTAATTGCTTGTGCTTTGTGCGAACCTTACCAATGTAGACTCTTCTGCTGTAGCGTTGCATCAGCAGCAGTGCGAAGACATGTAGAGGAATCAGGTTGATAATAAACACGTAACCTCCCCATGCTGACACCTTCAAGAAACAGGAAAACATTTAAATGCCAGTAAGCAAAAACAAGTAACTAACAAGATGTCAACAAGAAGTTTGATTATTTTGACACCCGAGACAATATCGTACAGCAAGGAAACTCTTGGTTTGAAAAATACGTAGGTTGCAATCATCCACAAATGAATAGGTTGTCACTAAAAAAAACAAACAGTTGATTTTCAAATAAAAAATTTCACAAATTTATTTATCCTCAGAAAGAAGTTGACAAACCAGTGATGTACACAAATATCAGCAGATTTCCAGCTCGAATTGTGACTGGAAAGATGGACGCTGAAAAATATTGTATTTCTGAATCGTGAATCCCCTGTGGTGTGGATGCTGTTACTGAGTGAGGAAGACTTTGAAATTTCCAGAATATTTAATATATTTCAAATGAAAGGAGGAAGAAATGGGTGTAAAAATAGGAAACCATGTTCTACGAAACGATAGGGTGCCAGAACGAGAGAGAAAGGCTTTCAGTTGATAACAGGAAGTTTGTTATCAGCTGAAACAAACTTCAGCTCTTTCTTGGTGTGAGAACAAGAGAGAGCAAAGCAACAGGAAGTTTGATTGCATTCCCAATCCTGTTCAATCGTATTACTTTCAGCTTTCAATCTTTTTCTGTTATGGAACTTATTGGATTCGGACATGTTGGCAGACTTCGGGAAATCTCTGAGTAGAGGTTTGGCTCCACATCAAGGAAACAGATGCAACAAAAATGGAAAAAGCTTTAAACACCTCCCTCCCCCGCCCCTCTAAAAATAAAAGATGAGAAAGGTATCGATTTTTGTGACCAGTATCTGTTTCCACCTATTGAACTACAGAACTAACTTGTAAAACCTTAACATGATTTTTTTTTTTTGTTGCAGCTGACTCCAAAGAAAAGTCTAAATAAAAGAGTTTTCATGTTGGCAGTAGATCCTTATGGCTTTGGACAGCCAGAAAATGAAATCAACATTGAGTCTGAAATATTGTCTACAAAGACACAAAACTGCAGGTTTTTGAACATAACATCTCACCATTTCAACCTGATGTGGCCTTTTCTAGTGTCTTCTTACTCAAACTGAATAATTTAAAAGAAAAAAGGGTCTTTTCTTGTTCAAACAAGTCTGGCTGGAGACATCCAGCCTGAATAACAAAGACCTAGTGACTCACCAATTATTCAAAATATTAAAATTCTCCAAGTTTACTTTGATCTTAGTTCCTCAGACCAAAATAAAAGAATCAAACACAATTACAGCTTGTGTCACAACCTGTGATTGTGACAAAATTACAGCTTGTAATTGTGTCACAACTACAAGCTGCTTTATTTTCTTTCAGTCCAGAAACATCAAAATATTATTTTAAAAGTGGGCCCAAGAAGACTCAAAATCACAATTAAGTAGCAAACTAAAATTTAGGTAATCAGTTAAAATTCCTAAATGTAGAGAACTTCTTTTCCACAAAAAAAAAAAACAAAAAACAAAAAACTGTTAATAGTCCCTCAGAGCCCAAGAGACCGCTTCCAAATACCAACTCCCACATCAAAACTCCCACAGCCGAAACTGCATCTTTATTGGCACAAACACACAGCTATAAACACCGACTAAAATAGAATCTGTAAAAACTAAGCGATAACATTTCACATGTCAGATGTAAAATCTCTGATGCACCAGTAAACTTAATATGTTCCACTAAAAGACGACCAAAGCTGTTGTTGAGGTCTGCTAGGCAGCAGAGCATCTGATGTGTGGGCCATAAAAAAGCTCCACTAAAACAACTTTTTAATCATCCGTGTGTCTCAACAGCAAAGGGCAAAGAAACTGACAGGAGATTGAGTTGTAATTACAGAAGAATAAAAGAATACAGATAAAAGAGTAGAATATGCTAGACAACAAAACCTGAAAAGGTGATTACATTAATGCAAATTGTTTGATGCTTCTTTTCCCCACAACAGCTTGTTAAATAGAGCCCTTTTGCTCTGGCAAAGGAAGATAAAACAAACATTTATCATAATTTTATATTCCCAGGAGAAACAAGCAAGTTTTATTACAGAAAGCTGGGGATCCTCATACAATATAAAGGCAGAAAAATTAAAAACAAATCTAAATAAGCTTCTTGCTGGTCCAATTATATTTTGGCAGTCACTCGCATCTGTTGTCTCAAACAGTGACAACCAATTAGAAGCCTGCGAACCAGAACTTGAACGAACAACAAAGATGACTTCAATTTAACATTCGTTTTCAGTGTTGACACAGGAGCAGCTCATCAAGACTATCTGGGAACTGACGAAAACACTGTAGACACAGCAAGGGGCGATCAGCAACATCTTGCAGTGTTAATTTTTTAATGAATTGTCGAGTCAGGCAAAATGAAGTTGCACAGCGGGATTAAGACAAAGTCAGAATTTCGAAATTTCTTCTGCACATCACACCAAAACAGTCTGAGCAGCTCCCAAATACTGCTCTTAATAAATGACCAATAAGTGAGAACAGTGCTTTCAAGCAAGGCAGAAAAAATGTAAAGCCACAGAAAGAAAAGGTAGAAAATATGCCCTTGAAGTTCAATTAATTCAGAGAAGTTTCTAATCCTAAAGTAAATCTGATGGAGAAAGAGGAAGTTCAAACAATCTCTTCCATCGATGATCATGGGAAAGGATCATATTCCCGACTCCAATGTCTCTCCACCTGGCTTTCTAATCTTACTGCCAGACAGAGATTTGAAGAGGTGCGGCAAAAGCAAACGAGGTGGATTAGCAGTGCTGGCCAACAACTGTGGAATATCGTCTCTACTTCCCTGATATAGAGCTATTAGCATTTCATCACAGGCACGAGATTGTTATAGAGTGAGTCTTCAGTCAGACGCCTCTTCAGATATCTCTTCCAAGACAGACTGCTTCCTATTGGGTCTTTGAAGATCCCAATTACACCGCTTAATTAGCCCTTGATGTCAATAATTTTTAAATCAAATTGAGCAAACCTGTTTAAGTACCCTGCTGTGAGTTCTAGTGCAATGCAGAAGTATTTGTCCACTTGCAGATTTTTGCTCGTTCTGTCTTTGTTTTGTTTTTTTAAACATTTAGAATCAAACAAACTTATCAAACAAAGGTTATATGAATAAACATAAAATGCAGTTTTCAAATTATTTAAAAGAAAGGGTATTCCCCTTACCCCCGCCCTACCCCCATTGTTAAATTACCTAGAATTTAACATGTTCAGAACAGACTAGGAGAAAAATCCTCACAGTGAGACTAATTGCGAGTTATGAAAAACCAATTCAGTTATCAAATTTGGTTATTATCTGCAATTACTTTTTCAAAAGTAATTGCAGATAATATTACACTCACTGGGGCTGCTGAAGACCAAACTAGTTTGGTTGTAGCACCAGTTAAGGTTAGCATTAGCAATGCCCCAATTTACATTTTATGTTATGTAGAAAATGCAATCATGTTAATTTCAAGTCATTTGCTTTCGTTGTTACAGATAATGAATTAATTTATATAACTTTAAATTGTTCAAAGGATAACAATTGTAAATTTGCAGCTGTGGTCATCCGGTTGTTATTTGAGATTTAATGGTCTTACTCACAAATCTTATGAATCGGTACAGGTCCCTTTCCTGCAGATGAATTGCCTTCCCAAGTATTTTTAGGAGCGAGTGTCAGAAAATTAGCTAAAAATTAGAGGCTGATAAGAATCTCATTAGATCTGCATGTATCTGGCTGTGAACTAGAGGACAAAAAATACTTTGACCTGATAATGGCTGTCAATAAATAATGTATGAAGGAAGTTGTGCAAACACTAATGTGATTACAAGCCCAGGCAACAAATGTGCATGATTATCTTTCATGAGAATCTGTTTAGTAGCTTCAGGAACATTTTGCCTTAGATGAAAGTGTGCATATAAAAACATAAATGCTCTCAAGATATTCACATTTTGACAAATTGTTCGTTCATCGTTGATAGTAGATATGTCCACATTGGGGTAACGTTCAAGTTATAAGGCTTTGAGTGTCTGCTCAGTCAAACCAAAGAATGCAATTTGAGCCAAAATGGACAGCATGGCACTTATTCCACATTATAGGACCATGGGAAGTAAAGGGACGCCTCTCCTTGTCTCGCTGTGGGTCACATGGACAAATTATGGTTCAACCAACCGTTTTCCAAAGCTACAATGCAACAGCAGAGGACAGGAATCTAAAAATGCTTAGAACAGTCTAACAGCTGTTATCGCTCTCTGCACTTCAAGCTGGGCTTATCTGATGACCACAGAGGTGGTTTAAAGAGAGCACCATGTAACAGGCCCAGGGTTTCCTTTCTGAGGTTGCAGATGCATTTATGTGTACGGAGCTTCACACGCAAACTATTCTTGTTATTTTCAAAAAACATGTTCTTTTTAGTTTGCCATGCCTTGCAAAAGTATTTGCAGCTTATAAACCTGTTTCACAATTTGTCATGTGATAACCACAAACTAGTGAACACATGTGAGGTGGAAGGAGTATGATGTATGGTTTTTCTATTTATTTTCCAATAGAAATCTATGAAGATGCACATTTGTAATCGGCCCACTGAGCCCATCTTTGTAACTGAAACATAATGCCAAAGAACCACAATCAGCTTCCAACAAATTGTGTTCAGGTCTGGACCTTGACTAGGCCAATCTAGTGAATGAGAATATAATATATTGTAGCTCTGGTTGTATGTTTAGCCTCATTGTTCTAATGGGAGCTAATGTGTTTAGCTCAATTTATCCTCCCATTGAGTAACTACTTCACTTGACCATTGGGAAAGAAAAGAAAAGGTTGTGTATGCTCTGTTATCTCAAACCCCCAATCAGTAGAGCCAGATGATTGCTCACACTGGGTCCGGTTCTGCTGGAGGGTTCCTTCTGTTCACACGCATAAGTCCTCAGAAGACTCCTCCTCTCCACTGTTTCCTCAGATAGAAGACTTTTCAAACAAGTGGCACAATAGACCTGGCAGCATTCTTCATAATGATTGAATTGGAATACATTGAGTATAAATATACATATTAATGGCATATATGTATATTCCAATCTCCACAGTCAATCAGGTACATTGCTTCCCTTAAAGCAGCCACTGTGAGAGCCTGGTCGTCAGCGCATTTAATCAGCATTTGATTGAGCTAAAGAGCTTTTGACAGGCACTGACATTAGAGGTCAGTCTATTAGAAGATGCTGAAGGGTTTAAGGAATTGGAATTTTCTAATCAGTTTTACCCTTTGGTTCCAACCTCAGAAGATGATCTGCAGCCTCCAGTGACGGTCTGAACTTTCCTGGCTATCAGTCCATCAAATTGCTCAGATCCGTGTCTTAATCCCAACCTCCACCGCCATTTCTCCTTCAAATAATCCAAAGTCAGACCAACAAAAGATTTCTCCCGCTTCGTTTTGGTCTCTCCTTAATGAGTGTCACGTTCAGTTAAGCCACACTGGGAAATATAACCTTGGCTTTATCTTGATCAAATAACATCAGAAAAGAATATCTACGGTATTTCCAGCACTTTGTCTAGAAGGCCAGACAGGTTTATTATTCTTTGAGGTGGAATCGTCTACAGAGGAACATCTGATTGCTTTGTACAAGGAGGAAGGTGTGGGTGCACAAAGAAGATCATAGTAAGAAGACAGACTAAATGTTTTCACTGCTACTGACGAGGACAATAAAGTCAGCTCTTATCTTTTTGTGTTCTTTCCATCTTTGTCCTCTTTTTTGATCTCTTTGCACCTCTCTGTACACCATTCTGTCCCCTCAGTGTTTTGTCTGCCATTCTATTCATCTCTTCACCAATCCCCCCTCTGTAATCTCTCGGCTCTTGAGTGCCCCGCTGCATTGTGATCGATGAAGCTGGATTTCGGTAATCTGCTGGATTTGACATCTGTCTCGCTGCTGGCCAAATAGCTTTAATTTTGAATGAAGAAGACGCTGGAGATTTTTATAGGCGCCCATGCAAACAATCTGTCGCCGAGGCACAGTGCCTGAACTGTCTTTTTTATCTCATCTCTCATCAACCCCCTGATGGGATTCTGTCTGAATTGATAAATAATGCAGGGAAGTGCTGGCTAAACTTACTAACAATTGTCGCAGATTTCCATGAAGTTGCAGAAGAGAAGGAAAATACGTCCTCTGTGTTTCGTCAAAGTGAGAAGGAGCTTGTTAGGGGAAAGCAGGGAATAGCGACTCTGAAAGTATTTGGGCTACAGTATTATAGAACTACTTTGTTCCATTGAAATATTGCATATTTAGTTTATTGTTGATTATGTATAAAGAATCAAACTAACTGCATTGCAGTGATTAAACCAATTAGATTTACTGGTATTTTTTTTGCGTTACTTTTATAAGCCTGCATGGCAATCATTTTCTGTGTACTAAATTTCTGCATAAGTTCCTTCAAAACCAAAATGCAGAAGTTTTTGCAGTTGCAAAAATAACATTCAGCCTTCAGTGACCTGATGTCACCATAGAATAACAAGAAGCACTCAGCTCTAGCTTTCTATCAAAAACTACTTCCTTCACTGTTGCTCAGTGTCAGAACATTATGTTGCTGAAGAAATAAAGCTCTTTGCTGAAACAGCCATATATAATAATTAATGAGGGAAATGTGTCACAAAACAGACACTGCAAAGATTAAACTCAACAGCTAAAAGCCACAACTTGATAAAGCTGTGGCTTTGCCAGAAAGCTAAAGTGACATTAGATGACAGCTGACTTATTGATTTCTTTAATTTATTATAATCTGATGTTTATATCAACGTATTAATGTCAGACAGGTCAACTTCAATACTGAGAGCATTTGGCCTGAATCTTCTGTCTGTGATATGATCAATAGAAGAATCAGAGGTACTTTAGCCCTTCTGGTATAAGAAGTCAAACATGAACAGCTCAGCTGTAAATGCACAGAAAGGTTTGCTAAAGAGCTCATTGACGGAGCTGACTGGACTGATTCAGAATGTCTGAGCTGTTGCTGCAGAACATAGCATAAAAGAGGAAGTTTCTGTGAATGACATGCTGTAAATTGGATTCTAGCTTTTAGACAAGAATCTTTTTGCTGCAAAATGGAGGAGAGTAGACATCATCTGAATAAAAACGCTCCTGGTTGCAGTGTGCAAAGTGGAGCTGGATGACGACCCGAGTTTGCATCAAAAATTATGTTAAAGGAGGCAAACATCTTGGTCCCAGGGTTTCTCTGAAAAGTGATTAAATCTAAACACTTCCTCAAAAAAATCTTCAGCTCAGATAAGCACAATGTAAATGTCCATTTATGGAAATGTTGACCCACAAATACTAAAATGAAGAGAAGTCAGAACTTCAGTTTTTCAGACACCAAATGACTTAATTGTCTTAATATTTTTTTCCAAACTCAATTTGGAAAGAATAGTCTTTTATAACATTTAGGTTATAACAGATTTATCAGTAAAAGATCTACTTTCACTCACAAATGATAAATTATAAAATTAGTGTCCGAGTGTGTATTCAGCATGAACTTTATAATGGGATTGACAAGAATTTTGACTTATCGAGAAAGAAACTAGTTGATGAATTCAAACTACAAAAACTGAGTGGCTGGGATTGTTATTTTTGTCATTTGAACCATCTGTGGTTTCTTTGCTGGTTTCAAAAGTTCTTAATAAAGCTGTAATTGTGATTTTATTTTATTTTATTTTTTTTTTTACAGTTTGGTGGTATAATTGCAACATTTTGTGACAATGAGCAAGTTTTAATTTTACATCAGTAATGCAATGCAAGTACGATGACAATGATGGTGACTTTAAATAGTTTTTAATCATTAATTTTATCCTTATTACAACTAACGCAGCAAAATGCAAATGCATTAACTAACTCTTACCATGTAGAAGTAGGAAAGACAACAGCCAATGGTCCAGAACACTGAGCCCGTCTTCACAGATTTCACCTGAAAAGAGGAACAGAAACACAATTTAGTGTTCTCCAATGAAAGGGTTCCTACAGTTCTACATGTTTACTTTCTAAACCAGCTCAAAGACTACAAACTGTAAAAGTAAAAGACAAATATGACCTTATGAATGGACAATGAATGAATGAATGACAAGGCAGACAGACGAATGGATACAGAGGTAAATAACTAATTCACTGGATTTAAAGCAACCTGTCCAGCAGTCCAGCTGATGAACAGACCAAAAGTTGGCTGAGTTGATAGATCAAAGTCTGATGGATGGAATGATGGATGATAGACAAGTAAATGGACAAAAAGGTCTGGTAAAAACTGTTGGACAAACAGGTGTTTAACCAATGGGTGGTTGGTAAATGGACTGGTGTTTTATCAAGTCCAGAGGACCCAACAGTGCTTCACACTACAGTCATTCTTTTACCCATTCACACATGCACACACTGATGGTGATGAGCTACTGGATGGTAGCCACACCTGTTCTAGGCTGCCATGCAACAGCACCAACAGGCCAACCAACCAACACCAGAAGGCATGTGAAGTGTCTTGCCCATAGAGGATCGACAAGCTCCTACCACTATGTATGCATTATTTGGAAATCCTGAGACTACCAGTAGATCAGACTTATTCTGCTTACTTAATTTCTCCAATTAGATGACATTTTCAAGCCAAATCTACTCACAATAAACACTTCTTCATCATCTCTGTTGATCATGTACAGAAACATCAGTTTTCTGTTGCAGAACATTGTGTTAAACACAGCCTGAAACAAGGTCCGCATGGAAGCCGATATGAAACACAGACTTGGTTAATAATTAAAAACACTGTTAAAGGTACATGAATACAGTCAGACAATTGAAGTCATATTTCAGAGTGACCGATTAAATGGGTGACGTGTTGATTCCAGTCAGCAAGGTTAATTTATTTAAGGAAAAGGAATCAATGTCTCCTGGACAAAGGTAGTCTCAGTCCACAAATACTACGACATGCACCTCTGGATCAATAACCTACAAACAGCAGCGATGCTTTATAAAGCTGGAGCAGGTCAGAACATCCCGACACCGAAAGGAACAGGTCAGAAGACAATAGTCTGATTTCTTGCCAACAAGGAAGTTGTTTGTAGGAGGAAATCAGAAGATTTCAGAGCTGAGTAGCTTTATGTGGGTTGACATGACAACACAGTTAAAGCCCTGGTTAGGTGAAAGGTTTTTTTTCTCTCCTTGGAAGATTAACATAAATGGTGCAAAACAATTCACTGAAAAACAATTTCAATTCAGTCAGGATTTGTTTGTTTTTTTGCTTTCATTTGACTTCTATATTCCCCATAATTTGATCCATTTGACAGTTCTAGTTAGACATTTATTCATCAATGTTGTAATTGGCCTGTTCAACTATTCTTTAATCTATTGTGTCTGTGAATTAATCAGGGTATGTATCCATTTATCTTTTTATCAATGCATCTTTAATTTTGCATTTAATATTATCCAGTGATTCCAGATATTATAAGTCATTTATTAAAGAATATATTCACTTTCCTCCTGGTAAAAACCAAACGTGTATGTGAATAAAACACTGAACGGGTCTCTATGCCATGCTGTAGGAAGAACTGTATTTAGGTCACTTCAGAACCGCGACCATGAATGATGTGTGTTTTCAGAACCGACTGATAACCAATTCTGGCTGTTTAAAATCTGTCCCACCACCCCCTGTTTACCTTTGGGCATATTCTGCTGTCAAACTGTGACTGTTAAATCCCCTGCCCTACTTCATGTTCAAGCTTTCCATTTTTACACTAACGTACAATTTCTTTTTTTTTTTTTATTCAGTCAAGCCTGTTTTTTCCTGTCTCACAATAACTCCCATCAATCTAATTTGGCCCCATTGTGGAGGGAACGCTTTACCAGGGAACACTGCCCATTACAAAGAATGCAGGTCTTTTTTGAACAATAAATTAGCACAAAATTTAGAGCGAGATCTTGATATCTTCACCCACACAAACAAAACAATTAGGTTTTAAAGGTAAAACATAAACGAGATCCAACATCAATGACTGATATGTTGTGATCAAGTAACATCTTAATCTCCACTTTGAAGGAAAACTAAGTTCAATGTAATTCCAAATTATTTGCAGAACAATTAGTATGTTTTTGGAGAGCATGTCTAATGTATGTAAAGCAAAATGCAGATTAGGAAACTGAACCTCCAAGGCACAATAGGACTGGCAAAAACTTGCCATTTATGTTCCTTAATTTTGATTGACTGTGGAGACTGGAATACCATGTATGTATATCCTCTGCTGTAGAGCCAAGTTGGTTTCCACTGTGCATATAAATGCCTGTTAAGGTATATTAGGTGATAGAACAATAACAAATTAGCAGTTATTGGTAAATTATTTCACCCCCTGACCTATCCTATAAAATGTCATAACAGCTCGTCTTTACATCAGAGTGTTAGTGTAAATCAACAGAAGGGCCTGGAATATTTCCCCAGTAGTCAGTGGGAAAGAACAAAATAGTGGTTGGTAATAACAGAAGCTAAGATGTAACCAAAACTCGTCAGTTTAGTACACAAAACTGCTGAAGACAGCTAAACTTTCCCTATAAATGTTTCTGTTTGAAGTACTCACTGCTTTTAAAAGCAGAGATGCTACACATTTTTCATGTGAAAACCATTTTTCTGGACCTAAATATCAGATGTATTCATTTCTTTTTGGTCTTTTTAAAAAAAGACATTTCTAATAATATACATGCAATTGTAATTTAAAAAGATTTTTAATGTAGAACCAAAAAGAAGGAGTTAGAGTTGAGTAGCTTTATCCAGATCTGTAAAGATTATCCAGACTTCTCCAGATTTCACAGAAACACTTCAAGAACGACCACAGAGGACAACAAGAGCCACTGAACAATCTGCAGCTTTTCCTTGACATCATCCAAATTAGTGAAGCTGAGCCACAAGCCTGGTGTTCAACTTGTGGCCAGCCCCCAAACCCTCAGGGCTGCTGCCTTTGTTTAGCCACACAAGTCTCAGTATGGTGGCAGACCAGCTAATTAAATATGAACCAAGAGAAAGAGCGAAATTACTGGTCCAACAATACAGCCATGGTGCGCAGGGGTAAAAAAATGGAGGGATGCTGTGCAACTGTGTGCTGGGCGACTGTTGTTCTTAAACAGACAAATGGAGCAACTCTCCTCTGTGTGAGTGGATTCAATTATAGATTATGGGAGAATGTGTGTGTGTGGGTGTGTGTGTGTGTGTTGGGGGGGCTTCAACACAGAGATCAAGAGAATAGAGTTGAATGGGTTTTTAGTGGTTAAAATGAAAGAGTTTGATAATGAAGATTGGGTTGAGACCAGCGAGAACAACACTGTTTATAAAATGCTAAAACGATAAAGTGGAAGAAATTAACAAGCAATAAAATGATACAGGAAAAGAAGGTAAGCAAGGAATAACCACGAAGAGGAGGAGACGCCACTCGATAAAGACAGAGACAAAAGACGACAAAGACAATTAACGCCAGACAATCTTGGAGAAGGCTGGAGAGAAGGACAAGAAAACCACAAAGACAAATGTGGGTAAATGAGACTGATAATGGGAAGCAGTGGTGCATGGCCGGGATGATTGTTTTTCAGGGCCCTTGCTAAATTGAAGGGAAGATGTGAATGGGCGTACGATGAGTGCAGCGAGATTCTTCTTGATGGTGCTGCCCTGCTCATGACATGCCGCCTTAAAAGACGGTGATGGCTGCCGTGTGGAACACCTGCCTCGCTTGAAGACGTATTGTCCCACCACGCCAGGCGACAAGAAGCCATTATGATGAAGCAGAAACAAACACGTGTCCTCCACAACGTCATAGACACACGTGATGATGAGGGGAGAAACGGTCATGGCAGATGTTTTTTAGGCGTCGCTGAAGGTTAGTGAAGGCAGAACAGTATCGTGACTTCCTGACACTTTATATTATTTCAAAGAGGTTCCAGCGATTTCGAGAAAATACTAAAAGCATAACTCCACTTTATAAGACAATTAATGGATTCTGTTGCAAAGCAGTTTAAAGAGTCAGAACAAAGCTGCAGCTCACCTCTTCCAAAATTCAATCAACTGCAGCCCTCTGCTGAGTTTTCTGCCGACTCTGCAGTCTGTGCGGCTCCATTCATCTCAACTAAACTCTGTTCTGTTTTCTCAGTTTCCTTACCTGTCCTTTTCAATCTCAGTTTTCAAGACAAATAGCTTGTATACATACGGAGCCATGCAAAATTGTTCAAGCCTCTTGAATTTTTTCTTCCTAATTATGCACTACCATCACAACGTAGTTCATACCAGTGAAGTGGCTGGGAAAAAAAACATGGTTTTCAAAAATATTTTAATTAAAATCTGAGCATTTCTTTGAATTTCTCTTTGATCTCTTATAAAAAGCAGAACAACAAGTTGACTTCAGAAGTCACCTAATTAATAAACATTGCATTTTTCTAGTAGTGCTGACCACTCAAGGCACTTTAGTTCAAATCACCCAGTAGCACTTATTCATAAGTTGATATAACACACATGTCAAAATGTGAACAAGTTCAAGGGCTATGACTGCTTTTGCATAGCTATGTATTTTTTCCATTTCATCGTTGCAAGTAAGCTGCCAGCTTTCTGTCAACCATTTGATGCATTGCTTTCCTTTTCTTTGTTTTTAAATGCGTGCTCCTTTCCATTTTAACACTCATGTCAGTAACATTTTGTGTCTCTGAAAGCTTTTTTAAATTCAGAATAGGCCGTCTGTGTCAGTTTAAGTAGGACAACTGCGGAACAATAAAGTCTTTTGTATGGAAGCACACAGCATTTATCCCTTTTCCTTCAACCTGGAATGATTTCCCAAATGTTGACGGCTTCTATTTTTGTGTTAGAAGTCATCACGGCGCTTTTCAAAGGTTTGGCTCCCTTCCAGCAGCTGTAAAGAAAGCTGGTGAGATTGTCATTAAGGACACAGTGCTTAATGTCAATCAGACATTAAGCGCTTGGCCCATATTGTCCCACTTGGCCAATATGCCCAATATGGGCCAAGCTTCACCCAACCAGGTCTTTGTTGAATAAACTCTGCACACCATGGAGGAATAAAGACTAGAACTAAGACGAGACTGTCTATTAACAGTTTGTTCAGCTGGAAGAATCAATGTTTACACTGCGGTTCTTACTCTGCACAAGTTTTTCTTCCTAATCATTTCAAACCACTTAATATTGTCTTTAAAAAAAAGAAAAAAAAATCAATCAGACTCTTTATAGAAGTTTGATTTGAATAAAATGTATAATCTTTTAAGGCGAATGTGAAAGCTGAATAGTCTTATAGTAATTTATAGATTAGACATATCCAACATTTACCCAAATAAAAAATAAATACAGACGGCCAGCTCTTCTTGGCCGTCTGAAAAAAGACAGATGGTCAAGATACTTTATCTGATTTATAAATTATACAATTATAATTTGTTAATATAAATTTATATATATATATACATTTAATACATTTCACAAATATGTTAAATGTAATATTTAACACAGTTGTTAAAAATGCTTCTGACATATTTAACAAAAGCAGTGGTCTTTTCAGTTTCTACTGATTTCTTAAAGTCAGTAAAAGGTTGTTCAATGTTGCTGCTTTTGAGCAGATAAACCACAAATACATTTATCAAGATGCTGTGTTTGCTTTCACAGCATGCAGATGGGACTGCAGAACCAAAGAGCTGTGGCTTAACACCACTGACACCAGCACATTCACATGTCTGGCATTTCAGCTTTAGTTGCTAACTGACTGATCTCTGTGAAACCATCCTCAGACAGCCACACTTCTTACTTTTAAATGTTGGATGTCATCTTGTCCTACTGAACATTTTCCACCTCAGTGAGGACCGGCTTGCTTTGCACCTGTTGGCTGTGCTACTTCTGCATTTGCTTTCTCACACTTCTGCAAACCTCTTTCACCCCATTACAGCTCGGTGATATTGTGTTATGTACAATCTGTAAACTGTAAGTCAATATTACTTGAAATTAATATTCTCACGAGGTGCAACACAATCTGATTCCTATTTTTGAGCTTTTAACCTGCAAATGCTGAATTTGCAAACATTACTAGGATGGAGGACAAGATCCACCTGCACCGATTGTCTGACCAACTTCCTGTTTCACATCCACTTAAAAGACATAAGAGAACATCATATACTTTATGATCGTATTTGACAGACCATGTGCAGAGTATACTTGTTCTGGGTTTAAAAGAGTGGAACTATCAATGTGGTAACGCTGCTGAGTCAGAGCCCAAACACAGTGGCTTTTATTAGGGGGACGGAAACTTCGAAACAAGCTCCAAGAGCTGGATGACAAACTATAGCTCAGCATCAGAAAAAAAACAAGCCACAAAGTTGTTTCAAAAAGTAACAAGACACAACCTTGAAACCACATGCAGTTGTGTACTTAAAGGGACAGGACCAGTTTCTACACATCTTATGGAAGCCTTTGAGACTTTTTCTAATTCTCAGTTCTTTAGGTTTATTTTAAAATATTCATCCGAAAGTTCACTTTTGATTTGCGCCAACTGTTACTTTAGTGGGAAGGCATTTAATATGAAATGTGAGGAAACTGAAACTGGACACAAAGGAGAAAGGAATGGAGAACAGGAATAAAAAGATGGAATGCCAAAGGAAATAAGCAAAGACATAAGGAAGAGAAAAAAAGACAGTACAAAAGGAAAGAAACAATAGACATGAAGGAGTTAGAAGCAAGAAGAACAGAAAAGGATACTGTAAATCAAGAAGTAGAATTCCAGATTGCATTTGAGCAATGAATACAGCTTCTGTCTGACCTGATGGGAGTTTATTCTGAAATAGGAGCGAATAAGACCCTCCACCTGGATGAAAGCCTCCACTGTGGAGCATGTTTTCACACTAACATAGATTAATATCGATGCTTAAAAGGTAAAGTAAAATTGGACAAATAGCCTCTGATCTTCCATTAAAAATTGAAACTCGCCTCTGGCATATTTAACAAAAGCTCTTTTTCATTTTGTTAACTCAACTCAGCTTGAATGGGAATAATCAGGACTGCAACTACTAATCAGGCTTTTCTAATGCTGGAGGGCAAAGCTATTCAGTTTAAGAGATGCATAAAGAAAATTAGCATCTGGATACATTTAGAAGTCTAAACAACAAATATGGAATTCATATGAAACATTTCATCACATGAAAACAAAATCTGACTTGATTATTTACAGACTTAAACACAATACAAAGAACAGTCTGAAGTGATTCTCACAAACTTGCAGCTCTTGTTTCTATAGCAAGCCAAGATCTCATTTTAGGTCATGCATGTTTTGATCTTAGTTCAGATTTTAAATATCTCCACTATTTCCCCTGCTTGGCAACATGCATTGGCCTTTGTAGAGAACTTTCCTTGTAATGGAAGTGGTTGAGGATTGATATTATGCTTTGGGAATAGTTGTGGGGTTGTCTGTGGGTAGCAGCACTAGATTAAAGGAAGTCAATGACACTGATAACGGTTTGACACTGGCGTTCAAAATATAATCTATCAGACAATGAAAAGTTTGGAAATCAAAACGTTTTTTCTTCTCTCATTTTTCCACAGATTTGGAAAAGCATAGAGTCCAATTTCACAGATACTCAAACTTTTAAAATAATACTGCGCAAGTACTTCTAACTTTAGTGGCACAGAAGCTGGCTTATTATTACTAAATCTACAAAAATAAATTTTAACTAAAGGGGGTAATTTGGTTGTTTTTCATAATCAGAACTTTATTTATGATCAAAATAAAGTGATTTCTTCCTTCTCTTGTGAATAATGAAAAACAGGGCAATACTGAATGTTTTTTTTATGGGCTCTGCTTTCTACTCCAACTCTTGAGTGAGTAGAAACAAGAGTTGTTTCTACTAAAATGTCTCACACATTTTACCCAAATGTGTGAGACATTCAGCTAAAATGTCTCACACAGCAACAGTGGGCAGGGCTGGTAATTGGATCACAGTATTTTGAAACATCAGTATTATGACACGGTGGGCATGTGAGAAATCTGTTAATGGAATTAATTTTATAATGATTAATTTATTTCATAAATATGTTCAACTTGATTTTAGGATAAGCTGTAGAAAACTTTATTAATTCTCCAGCGTTCATCTCGGGTTCAACAGCAGCAGAATCAACTGTAAGCTTTTATAACTGAACTACAAGTATAAAGACTAGAAAGTTTTAGTCAAATCTGTACTAGTTACAAGTTTAAAAGCCTAGTTTATATGACAACATTAAAGCATTATTTTAACTTACATACAGCTCTTTCATCCTTTTGATATTGCAAATAAGTCTCATTTTCCATATTAAGAGCAGAACAGTTTTTAAAGATAGAGCAGATTAAAGTTTGTTCAGCAGAATTCAAAATTGATGAATAAAAACAAAAGAAAACTGAAGTGATGCAGAATGAATAAAAACATCCATTAACAGTTGACAAGGTCAAGTTCAATATTAAGGAAGAGAGGCCTCCTGATCAAACTGTTTGCATAGCAATTTCACGCATGCATGTATGATGCTTTAATATGAAGATGTCTGCAGGGCTTTGAGGCAGCTGCTGATGCAACTGAATGAGCGAAAAAACGCTTTGAAAACTGTTTTTTCAGCGTCTTTCATCTTGGAAAGCTGCAGTGTGGTGTTTTGGTGCAGCTTTTGTAAACAACCGAGTTATATTTTAGCTGGAGGACAAAAAATAAAAAATCTTGTCTGTGGAAATACTTTTTTCATAAACCATGAGTAATATTTTAATAACTGAGGATTAAAAAAAAAAACAAAAAAAAGGTGAAACAGGTGAGCAAGATGACATGTTTTGTTGGTGTCGGTGAACCTTGTGGATTAAAGAAAGAAAAAAGAGAAAGGAAATTAATTGGAAACAGCTGCCTAATTTTACCATAACCGGGCTTGATTGTACTCTAAAAGGTCATCTCATTGTGAAGGTTTTTCCTTGTCCAGTTTGGATTCTGTGAACCACATGGCCTGCAAAGATCGCCAGCTTTCTTTTCAAGGCTACGGATAAATAATTCAAGATGTGAGGCAAGCAAGATTTGAAAGGAGGGCTCTACTTTCCTGGCTACATAAACCTCGTCTCTTAGAAAAAAAAGGAGACTACGACTTCAGACAGATGAGCAATGGCAGAAAACATGACAAAACTATTATATAAACGTGTATAAGAAAATGTAATTTTTTTTCTCTTTTTAGACTAAGCTCTCAGTCTACTTACCCAAAGATAGTAGGTGAACTGCAGTGCAAAGATGGCGATGCCTTCGTTGTCGAAGGAGCCGGCCACAGAGCGGGAGATGTAGCCCGGGACGATGGCGATGAAGCAGGCTGCCAGCAGCCCTGCGCCCTGGTTCCACAGCTCTCGCGTCAGCAGGAAGGTGGAGATGGCCGTCAGGCCGCTGAACACCGGCGCCAGGAACACGCACACATCCCGGATGTGCACCGTGACGTGAAGCAGGTTGAGAATGTAATGGATAAGGCCGGCGGTCACCATGAGCCCTGGGTAGACCTGAGGGCAGAGACACACACAGAGATTAGAGCGACAGAAAACATGGCGGTTGAGTTCAAGAGGCGGTGAGAGGATTCACAAGACAAGGTCTCACATCTTAGGGTACATTACACAGTTTGTTGTATTATGTTTTACATATAAAGCAACTGTCAAACCCATTTTCCACTTTCCTATCTTAAAAAGTTGTAACACATAAACATATTGCAGCCTGTTAGAGACAGTGGCCACTGATGTGTGGTGCAGGGAATAAAACAAGGTGCAAGAATCAGGGTCTTTGCATACGGCATTCAATTTCGGTTTCCAGTTGAACAGAAGCGCTCACGCCTCCATATTGCACATATGCACTGGATGTGGTGAGACAAGTAGAATCAATTTTGTTCACAGCTTGAAGTTCAAATTCAAAATTTAAGTTGCAGATTTAGAAATAGGCATCCAGTTTAGTTATGATGGGAAAGAAGTCAACTTTAGGACCCAATGTTATTATAGTTGCGGCAAAACGCATAATAATTTTAAAAACCGTTTTTACTGTGATACACTCAAAGTGACCAGTTGAAACACAGAATGCGTTTCACTCTAGGCTATCGCTAAACTGATTGTGGAGATGCAGGTAAAAAGAATCTGAAGATTTGGCAACCTTGCTGATTAATTTACTGTATATACATGATATATTATGATATGCTTTACACTTTATTGTAAATAAATCAGAATGTAAAAATTATTTAATGAGAAGGGAAGATGGATGCAAACTATTCTAGGATAATGAATTATTTTTTGCTTATCAGTTTTAAAGCAATATGGATTATATAGTAGGTTTCACATTTAAATATTATGCTGCAGTGAAATTGGAGCATTTTTAATTTAGGTTACTCAAGCAGTCGATAATTATATTGCTTTTACGAGGAGGAAGAGGAGGAGGGAAGGAAAGAAAAAAAAACAGCAAAGAAGCAGTTTGGTAGCCTTTTGCAAGTTCTGCAATTTTGTTTCTTCAGCAGAAGCAAAACCAGCAGCTCTCTGGTCTTAAAACTCAAACTCCAAGTTGAACATACGTTCACACCGGCAGATTGTTTTTATAATGACTTATAAAATACAAAAAGAAACCCAGTTTGTTTACAACTGTTAGGAGGTTCCAATGTGTTGAAAAAAGGCCATTGTTTCTAAAAATTTAATGAACTTAGAATATGTCTGTTGTGTGCAACAATTGTTTTTAGCAATGAGACCTATTAAAAGGCTCACGACCCTTCTTCACAAATTCAGTGTTGTGAAAAATCATCTGTTAGTTTCTAATTCTCTTAAAACTCGTGTAGCAGAACAGCAGATTTAATGTGTTAATTTCCCAGTCTCACTGATTCAGACAGAAAAAAAAAATACTTCTGTTCTGTATTTGTTCAAAAACAGTAACTAATTAAACATAACATTTAAAATTAACTTGTAGTCACTGGTAAATTGGAAGCTTGGTGGGTGATCTTAGAACAGTGTGCGGGCACAGCTTGGTGTTAAAGTCTTAAATCCTCCACTTTCCCTGTAGGGCCATTAGCTCAGCTGATTTAAAAAGACCAAGTTGACAGCTGCAAACAGGCTTTGTATTAACTTTCTTCATTAATGCATGATTTGTGTATAGTAACAGCTCTTTTGAAAAGCTGCAGCTCATAAATGCAAATAAAATTCAGTTTAAACCAAACTATCTGAGGCATTTTTAGAGGTGAAGGGAACAATTACAGTGAATAATTCAGCTTAAAATTAATCTTTCATCATCTTTATGGATTCACTTTAGTCCAGATCAACCTTGCAGCAGAAGGATAATCTTGACAAACTAATTTAAAAAGCGCTGGATGAAAAAAAGGCAGCGTTTCTTCAGCTGAATGTATGATTATTAGCTCCTCATGCTGAAATCGAACTGTGGCCCATGTAGGTGAGGCCTCATGCCCCCGTCTCCTCTAACCATGAGAGACGATTCAATTAGAGCTTGTTGTAGTGTACTAGAGACGTCAGATGCAAAAAAGGTTATGCATAAAAGTAAGTGATCTCTAATGCGTATTCAGTGTAGCCTCAGTCTATACTCTACTTCTCCTAATAAACTCGTGTCTCTATGTTTCTAATTAGCCTACAAGATCCAAGCTTCGCCAGCCAATCTATTTCAATGAGAGTCGACTCTCTTTCTCTCTCGACTCAGAGGATTTGATTCTGTCTATTGGAACAAATTCCCATCATTCCCTGCATTAATCTTATAATTATTAGCTAGTTTGAACTCTGTATTGTGACCTAGATGAAGAAAACTGCTACTGTTTAAAATAGAGCTTTTTTAAAAAAAAAAAAAAGATCTAGTTTGGCTTAAATGTTTTGGTTTTCATAAAGAATAGATGCTAAAATTACAGAGTTCTCATGAAATGTTGAAAACCTGACAAAAGCCCTCGCAAAATATGTATTCCAATTGTCCTTGTGGAGACAAAGAGTGGGTTATTGGCTTGACAGCCCGCTGTTGTTACAGGCTGGCACATTAAAGAGGCTTTCCTTTCTTATTTGCAGCTCAGAAAGAAAGAGCAACTGACAGCCGTCCTCTGGGGAGACGAGGGTGGGCCGGGGAGAAAAGGGAATAAAAAGACAAGGCCAACTGGACTGGTCTTTGCAGAGACACACTTCACTGTAATGTTAACTGGTCCTCCAACTGGTGTGAGCCATCTGAGTGCTTGGAGGATTTAATGTTTTCATACACGATTAATGAGGGTTGCCGAGATCTGCTATCTAACTTTGAATTGAAGCATGGGACAAGATAAAGGACAAGGGATGAAGAAAAGGACATTTTTGAGGATGTATGAAAAGCTACAAAATAATAAGGAAGACATGAATATTAAAGATGTACAGATCAGAAATATGTGGCTCCTTTCTGATTTAAAGTTTTAACCTAATGATAAGAACAGCCAATTCATTATTTTCTTAACTTCTAAATGTTTTTTTTTTCTAGAACTTCCTGTTGATAGTAGTCGTTAAGTATTTATGTAGTGGACAGAGGCAACCTCACACTCTATCTGTGTACTTGCTTAGCTTTTCTATTTGGGACCTTCTCTGGCATATTTAGCAACCTTCTGAAGACTGATGGATCTTATGGGGACCAAAGCCCGGTCCTAATGCAATGAACGCCGCTTGTTTAAGGTTAGAATGGTTAGTAATACTAAAACTCTGGTCTCTGTTTTAATTATCTTAAAAATTAAGATTATTGACCTCAACATTCTGAAAATCTTTCTAAGCAAGATTAACACAAAGTGACAAAAAAGAGAAAGTTTCCTATACTTCCTGTTATCTGCTGAAAATCTTCTCCCTTCCGGCCTGAATTAACTGTAGACATATCTTGATGTGTCGTAGCTGATACCTTTTTAAAAAGCTTTTCAAATGATTCCTCTGAATTTATATATTGACGCGTAACATCAAGGTAACAGATACACATCAGTTGGCACCTGTGAGACGTATTGGGTTTCTGCACAAACAGAGCAGATTACTGGACATTGTTTCCAGCATTTTGGAGTCTGGACTGGTCCTGGACTCCTCCTGCCGGTGTGTTAATGACAAGCTGCACCTGCCAGAACATTTCGGTAAGTTCTCTTGTCACTGAAGGGTTCTCCCTGATGCCTTCAGACACCTGAGTTCTAACTTTTTGTTTTGGTGTGACTCCCATTCTATCACAAACAAACATATTTTTATCATTGATGATAAATGACTCACTACTGCTGCCAATCTTAAGCAAAATGCGTATTTCTAAAAGTTACATCATTATGAGGTCTCCACTGCATTTCTTAAAAGTATTAAACTAGAGGTTCATGATAAAATGCAAGGTGTCAATAACTGGACATCTTACCTTGAAGCATTGGCAGACCACCAGACCGTGCTGGTCATTAGAAAATAAGCCCACATTTTCTGCCTATGTGAGCTGACTCCAGTGTATTTTCCTCAATGACAAGAATGCACACTAAAGAGTGTTGTTACAGCAATATGGCAGCAATAGTCAAAAACAAGGAGTGTTTTTTGAGTTTCTGACTGGCTCAGTAGGTAAATAAATAAATAAAAAACTGTCCAAACCAGCTACTAGCCAGTTTGTCAGTTCACTGCTGGCGAGTAGAAGAGGTGATATAAGCAATTGAAAACTAAAAACTGTAGGAGAAAACAGGATTTGGAAAAAAAAATTTTACTGAAGTTTTCAAGGCAAATGCTCTTAACTACGTTATGGTTATAAGTGAGGAAAAACCCAACTCTCATCTGCTCTCCATGTTTTAAAAGCACAGGTTTAATGCAAAAGAGAGCTCTCACACAATCATTTTATGACTTTGAAAGCAGTGTGGGAGGTGAGGTAAATACCATGTCTCTAAAGCATGCTTATGTTCAAAAAATGATTTGGCTCAGTCATGCAAACAGAGCTACATTTTCTCAATTAACCTACACACTAAATAAGTGTGCTGCCATAAGAGTGCTCCAATGTAAAGTTGCAGTTTGTGGTCTGAGTCATTTTTAGGCCAAACATCATCTGTCTTTTGCTTCTCGTTTCACTGGACTACAAAAGTCAACCTTCACATCTAGAAAATTAAATGACCATTTGTTTTGAGCTTATTTAGTTCATATGTAGAATATTTCAGTCTAACTTTTCATAAACTGTAGACTTAATGATTCTTCAGTTCCAACTTTATTATGGTTTTGCTACATCTTTATCCACCATCTCCAAGAAGCTGTACAACTTTGCATAGATTAGCATGTTACAGGGAGATATTTGCATTTCGCATGACCATAAGAATGACCCTCCTGCCTGGCATCAAAATGTCTGTACTCTCTATATGGCAAAACGCCATTCGCCATCTGGCACTGCACTCCTGCCAAGACCACTGGGAGTTCTCGAAGACCTTTTTATATTCGCATGCTTTTAGACTTTATTTTTGAAGCAAGTATGCAAACACAAAATTACACTTTTTAATTGTACGCATAAACAAATACACAAGTATTAGCTTGTTAATGGCTATAAAAAAGCAGCTCAATAGAGATCAAATGAAAAAAGCTCATTTTCACCTTGAGTAACACTGAATGGCCCTGATTCACAACAATCCATTTTCAGAGAAACTACATAAAGTCTAGCCTCAACGCACCACACATCCTCAAAGATAAAACTTGCTTTTATCTCAGTTAAAGTACTTTTGATAGGTTTGTAAAACAACACAGATTTTATGTAAATTGATGAGTAGCACAGTACATATGTCTTTTCTAGCTATATGGCCATTGCTTTAAGGGTCAAGAAACATTTGGAGACCAAGTAGAAATTGTGTTGAAACAATCATATTTTATAAACATGAGAAAAAGCCATGAATTATATGATGTCTAAAGTTGCTCTCCAACAAACTGAAGCTGTGGGAGTCTGGTTAATACAGCGTACAGTGATTCTTTTCAAACCTGTTCCATTTCAGAGCGTCTGATAAAATCCTGCAAGGCTTGGGTCCAGTGACTTGTTCTATCATTGTACACAAGCAATTAGTGGTAAAAACGCCACTTGACATTTGCTAACCTCTTAGACTCAAGGTTTTCTTTACAGAAATCAGTTTGAATAGGACATATCTGCCACTTTCACAACATGGGATATTTGAATTACTCTTGTATGAAAATAAAAGTCAGATCCAGAGTGCAGTCCAGAGGTCTAAAAATCAATACAGCACACTAAAGTAAAAAATAATAATAATCCACCTAAAAAATGCCCTGAAAGTATGCAGTTGCAATCCAAAACCTCAGGCCAACTGAAGTACAGGTCTGACATTTGCTGACATAAAAAAAGAAAGAAAAATAAAAAGTGAAGCACAGATGTTTTTAGTTGATAACAGTTCAGGTAAACCTTCCAAATGAATCCTTTTAGCACAATTTGACACAATCAATTGAAATTTCAGAGAATTTTTTTCTTGGCTTCTTGTTTCCCCATTCCATCATATATAATTGTTTTTGCACCAAAATAAAAATAAAGGAAGCAGGAGGGGGAACAAAACGAAACACTGACTGCAAAACTGAGTGCTTCGGTCCACAGAGCCCAGACATTGTGAACGACACAAGGCAGTTTCTCAGGAGACCGTTGGAAAATTAAGATGATTGAAATGTCCATCAAACCGTCAGAGCCAATAGAATACACTGGTGTTTACAAAAGTTACAAAACAACGATCATTCACCAAACACAGCAAGGTAAATTGATTTGATGTACAGGGATGAAATGTAAAATTGCAGCGTTAGACACTATTGGGAAGACAGAAAAAGCTGAAAACCATTAGTATCACTTTATTTAGCGTCTTAATGTAAAAGTGGCATCTTGTTGTGGTAGAAAATGTTTGTCATTGAGACAAGGCTTTCCCCATATATGATGTGTTTATCGGTTGACGCATAGCCTTTGTTTGAACTTATTTTGTTGCTTGAGTTATATACCTGATGCCCCTCAGCACTGCCAATTTAATTTTGTACAAGAAAACATACATCCATGCTGTCTAATTTATAACATCTTACATAAATACAAAAAATGAATCTTAAAAGATTGTTTTTAGTTGTTTTTAACTTGGCATTGATTGACTTCTTTAATTGTAATGCAATATCAAGTCAGAGTATTGTTTCAGAGCAGTATCAGGACATTGCAAAACAAAAACAGGTCCTTGTTTAAACTAACAATACATTTTTATGTTCAGCCAAAATGTCAGTTTAACTGCTGAAGGTCATTTCCCAAAGCAAGAACATCCCTGATATTAATGAATGATAAACGGATAAGAGCAACAGTTCTCTTTTACATTCTAAACCTCACGTCTGAATGTCCTCTACTTGCATACTAATTCTAAATGTCCAAGGGAAAAAGGAAAATACTTTTTATGCTTAACTGAATTTGTGCAAAGATCAGTCCAGCACAAACTAATCTGCTCCATATGATTAATGTGTAAATTATTCAGCAATTCTTTCTAAGGAGAAATTAGACATATGAATACAACTGTGCAGCATAGAAACAGGCATTAGTTGTTTAATTTCTGAAAAATAACTCACTATGCGACAAAGACGGTCAGTAAATATCATGGAAATTAAGTTGGGACTAAACATGTTCTAATTCTAATTACCTGTCTAATCACGAGTTTCAGCTTGAGCCCAGTGGGAACAAAGACCTAAACCAAGTAGCCATGAACTGTACCAGAACCAATAAATCCATTATTAGATTGCTTTGCAAATGCAATTACCAGTAGCTGATTATAACCACTCACAACAAATGAGGACCTTTGGATTCCAGCTCTGAGAGTTTCTCACACACTATGGGGAAAATGTCAGGATACGTCCCGACTATATTTGATTGTTGCAAAGTAACGCCAGCTCAGTGATGAACACCATTAACATGCCTCACCATCTTTATGTTAGGACACAATGCTAGAGATTACAAGGCTCCATCTGATCGTTTGAGCTGGACTCGATGTTGCCAACACGTTGGGAAGCATTTTCACATTTATCTTGCACTGGGGACTTTAGATTATACACTCCTGCTGCATCATTAAGGAGTGCAATTAGAGCTCAAGAGTGTAACCCCGCTGCGTCCATGAAACGTGGTGGGAAAGAAAGGTAGCAGGTGGCGTTGTAATAGATGGAAGGAGATGGACAGACCTGAGGTATTTAACACAGATGAGCCTTGCAGCTCGATAGTTGTTGAGTTGATGTCAGGAGAGCAAATGTGAAGAAGACCGAAAGCAAGAAACAACACGCTGAATTCATAAAAGGACTTCAACATAGTAGTTGTTGATGTTGAACAGGGACGCCGTGGGAATCCATTGTGACTTCATTAATATAACATAATGTAGATTAATCACACTACCTATTGTGGCGTAAAAGCCTCTTACCTGTGAAAGGTTGCTTAGTCCAAAGCAGCACGGTGTTGGGTCACTATCGAAAGAGAAAACCTTTTAAACAATACCTGAATGAATGAATGTGCTGCTCAGCTCTGTGAAAAATGTCTGATCCACCTTTGAATTATTTTGATTTTCAAGATTACAGACTTATCTGGTTTTCAGCAATACCACTTCAAGCCTTTCAAAGAACTCTGAACTTTTTTTTTTGCTCAAGTCCGATACCTGGATATCTGACGGCATTTTCAGAAGCAGACTGTCACGCGCACACACACACACACGCACGCACACACACAAAAAAACTTGCCTTCATGAGAAGAAAACAACTCTAGAACATAAGAAAAACACCATTTGATCTGGTTAAAATGGAGTTTCTGCACCAACAAAAAGCTCCCGAAAGAGCACTTAGGTAAAAACAAAATATCTCAATAGAGTTTAACGTATATCAATAAAAATAGTTTAGGAAATTTCACAAGGACAGATGAAAAAGCACCAGGCTAATAAAACTGTACAACAACTTAACCGCATCTAAAAGCCTTGCTCTTAAGAAATCAGAAAATATTGCAAAGAAAAGCAACATATTTCAGCTAAGCCATTTACCGGATGTCATGTTTGCAACTAATAGCACTTTGCTGGTGCCAGACTCCTATTCAAACCATTGAAAGCAGCGTTATAGATCCATCTAAAATAAAACATAAAATACAGAAAGAAAATGCAAATCCCCCACACTGTCTAGAACAGTTTCGGGGCAAAAACTTAAGCATGTTCTGTAAGGAACTATGACACGACATCATCCGAGACAAAATTATTGTTTTAGCTGTGCTACTTTGTAAAAACCTTCATAAAAAAAGTCACAAACACTTTCAAAGATATTTAAAACCCTACAAAATGTTGCCAAGTACAAGATCTGACTTTTTAGAATCTAAAGATGAGATTCAACCTTTTTTTTTTTCTTTTTTTAAGCAGACACTCAGTCTTTTCCTCTTTTCCAATTTCAAGGTTGAGGCTGAAGGAACATACTATTCTTGAATATGTCAGCTGGCTTGTCGAGCAGAAAGTCCAACTCAGGTCAGATCCATGTATTTATCAAATGCTCAAAGATGTGATCATCAATCTTTAACTTCACCGGGACTCATGTTAAAATTAAACCTCACTAAGGCAGAAGTTTAGTGAGATTTACAGAAACTTTTACTTATGTTCACAATAACATAAATAAAACTAAATAAAGCAAAATAATAATAATAATAATAATAATAAAACACCTTAGAAAGAAAATTTTGACTTTGAAGAAAATAATATGAAGATTTAATACACATGATCTTTCTTTTTACACTGCAAGTAGCTCTTTGACAAGTAGCCAGAAGCTATTTCAAGGCTTCTTCTGATTCAATGTCAGACTAAGGATCAAGGTCATGCTTCTTTTGATACAGATGTTAAGATCTCCCTGTTAATGCATTATTCACATTTTTGCGAGGAAGAAAAGGGAATGCAAGGAAAGAAAGAACAACAAGAAAAGTAGAAAGAAAACAAGGAAGGAAAAAGAACAAGACAGAAAAGAGAAACTAATCCACAAGCAATGAATGACAAAAAGATAAACATGAAGGAAGCACCCTACATTTAAAACAGATGGGTGAGCCAATAAAGTCTGGGACTACACATATTTATTTCCACTAATATTTTTTCTTCCATACTTAATCCATGCATGGAAAATAATTTAACATTTTCTACTTTTCTGAATTCCATAGGAACCCTGGTTGTAAAAACAAATTGACAATGACATAAATATTGCAGTAACTTTTTTTGGGGGCAGAGAAAACGTCATGATATTGTTATATGGGAAGCAACTTCTGGTGCACCTTTTTTTTCCAGAAGGAAAAAGAAAATGTAGACACCTTACTCTGAAATCTCATTCCTCCCTCATCTGCTCACATAAAACAAGAGCACTGGAGCCCACTTTCCTCAGCCAGACAAATTCAGGTCAAAACAAGTTTATGGGCATTGTTAAATGCAGCGCTGGATGCGATAAACAGGAGAAGAAAAGCAGAGTTTTACAACAGCGCATTTTATTTGTTTCAAACAGACACTCACTGTTCCACCAACAATCCTGCCCAGGGGGTACCAGGCCCTTTCGTCAAACCAGTTGAGGAACTCATAGAAGCCATTGGTGGTGAGATGGTGAGTTGATCTGTAGTTGAACCTGAAGCAACACAACAAAAAGAAGACGACAGAGTTGGGTTATTGTAATGCAGAATGTAGTTGCCAGACTCCGTCAGGATCAAATCCTCTTAAGTGGAGATGAAAGCAAAACATGAAGATGAAAACATGAACACAAAACAGATTTTATTATTCAGATTTTAAGAAGGATCTAAGGAATATTAAGCTGCTTTGACTCGTTCGAAGTGAGATCAGTAAGTTCCTCCATTCACAATCTGAGCCTTTGTAGTGATGCCAAAAGCTCAGAGGTCAGGCTTTGGTTAGAAGATCAGACGGTTTTACTCGGGATGTGACAACAACATTAAACAGGTCTCAGTTTTCCCTCCTAATTGAATGAATCAACCAGGTCGTAGGAATAAATGTCAGTAATTTCACTTAAAACACGACCTGGTTAAAAGCGTGGTCGAGGTACGTAGTTGGAACGCTGTCAACCAGCTGAGAGAAAGAGCTGACAGTCTTCTGAAAACTGCTGCCGACGAAAACGGAGGAACTCAGCGGCAGCTCCTCTGCCACACAGCTAATTAATTTGGTATGTATTGTGGTTCAAGCACAGGCTCAAATGGATGGTGGAAAATACTCCAGGTGCAAAACAGAGAGAAGTCAGCTAAAGGCCAATTACCTGGGAGGTGTACAACAGAGTGAGTATAACTTTGTCTGTGAAGAAAAAGCTGTTTTACATCAGAGAAATTTTTTGATTCACATTTCATCGAGTCTTATTTAATCATCCCATGAGGTAATGCTGCGCTGAGGAAATCAAAGTGCTGCTGATCTCTGCAAAAGAAGTTTATTTTATATCATTATCCTCAGTCAAACTGAAGAAATGCTCACACTGAATATATGGTCACCTGTGAAAGTTCTCCATATTTTGTCACTTTTTGTCACCATACTCCATCTGATGAGCTCACATTTATTCAACTTCCCCGTTGCTGTCTGAGTCAGCACTTTGCAGACAGACTCCTGCCGACTCAAACAGTACTGACTTATTGCCGTTCATGAAACAACAACACACACTCATTAGCACATGCTAACCAACGAAGTATGATGCTTTATGTACGCTATGGCTTTCTGCAGGTTTCATAAACTCAAGTGTAAGACTTAAGATATTTACTAAGATATCGTAGTATCTTCAAGTATCCTATTTAATAAATTTCATTCATTAAATAGGAATGAAATTTAAGACAAAGTCATGTCATAGATACAGATTTGCACTTGCTCATAATATACATAAAATAAGCTCACTAGGATATTTTAGCAGCTAATAAGCAAAACAAATTCACAAGAAGCTCTGTTCTCTTGTCTAAAACTCACAGATTTTCTTTCCAGCATTGCTCCGTGTTTAACTGCGTCCAACTGTCTCTGACCCATGCATGCTTCAGAAAAGCAGCCCATAACATGACGTTATGAACTTCTACAACTTTACCTTGCAATAAAATACAAAGCAGCCACAGGCAACACTTAATTTGCGTAAAGGAAATAAACTAAACACTATTTAAAGTAATCAAAAATCCAACAGAAGTAGTATTGTAAAAAGTTATTAACATCTGTGAATATTGCTTTTGCTTTGGGCTTTTGCTGGCATTCATATTCCTCAACAACCCAAGGCCTGAGGCTCTGACACTGAAAGTGAGAATAACCCACTCCCACCCTCGCTGCAACTCGAGCTACTCAAAAGAAAATGCAGAAATAGTAGTTCAGACTTATGGAAGAATAAAACTTAAATTTATCCATCACCTTGCTGCATGACCATGTAGATGATCTAATGACCTCAAAATTATGAGAAACCCCTAAAAATGGGGCATGTTTCATAGATATTGCAACTGGCAAAAACAAATAAATATAAGCCTCGGATGTGAGATGGTATGAAATGGAGTCAGCCAGGTGTGAGAGCACTTCCACAGAGACGCTCTGGAAGATGGAACTGGTCAGGTTCTTCAGCCTCATTGTTCAGCGGTTGTCAAATCAGCGAGGCATAAACAAAGCCAATTCAAAGCCAAGTCTCTAAAGAGATAACTCTGCTCAGTGCCAAGCAAAATCCGCAAAACCCATTTTCCATTGATCTCATGGACAGCTGAACAGATCGGTTCATCCATGCCCCTGTCACGTCGATGGGATGGATAACGTAGCTCTGCTGGGCACATTAGCAATTTAATGCATAGCTGCCTATGTGGTTTCAGGCCACAAAGCCTTTGATGACTAGCAGCCTCTCTTAGCGCCAGCGAAGATGAGCAACACTAATACAACAACACTCCTGGGTGGATGTTTGAAAGGAGAAATGCAGTATGAAGCTTATATAAACTCCGTACATAAAAGCAAAGAGCAGAAATATGGAGTGGCTTAGCTTCGCCTCCCTTTCAGACACCTCTGAGGGCTGATTCACTGATTAACAGCTTCCTGGTAAGATGAGGTAGTCATTATCAGCGTGACTAAATGAGCTTCATTGCTACTTACAAGCCACAGTATGCTTTTATTCAATACCAGCCGCATAAACGCATTGTAGTTCTCTCCCCCCTCATTATGAGCCACACAGGCAACTTAAGTGAATGATCTGCAGATGACCTCAACGATGAGAGATGGAGAAACCAAAACCCAAGCTGAGACACCAACTACAGCTGGGCATTATGGGAACCCATGTTGGCCTTTTTTTGTTGTTGTTGTTAGGATCGCAACATTAACGTGCCATGGGCAGGATGTAATGTTTAGACCAATCTTTATTCCATCAGCGTAATCCCCAATTTAATCTAGCCAACAACTGTTCAATGTGGGTGCTGATATCAAGAGAAAATGCAAATTAAGCAACAAACATCTCCCCATCAAGAACAGTTTATTTATTAAGGTTTTGGAGCTGACTGAAGCCACATTCACATGTACAGAGACGTGCAGCTGAGTCATCTACCATTGTACTGTTTTATGAGTTTAATTCCCTATGGGCTGAGGGTGAGTTTTGTAAAATCCACCATTATTCATTCATAACTTAGAAATGGGTTTTAAGCTAAATATCTAAGCTAAAAATTAAGATGGATAATTGCAAGTCAGGATAATGCCTGCATAATAATGCCTATGAAGTTAAACATCAGCAGACCAATTGTCTGCTAAGCCAACAGACCACCCTGAGACAATGACTTCATGCTTAGTAGCACTCAAACAGGTTAACTGTGATCTGAGCAGGCTATATTTACCAAATTAAAGTGAAGATCTACCATCTTTGTTGTGTTCAAGCCAAAGCTGCTGTTTCAGTTTTGCTAGTTGTACAAATTATTAAGGTAAAGTGGAAGAGATGGCTTAAAATATCAACTCAATCATTTAGTCTTATGTAACACCAGAGCACTGTTTCACAGTGTCGACTCACACAAAACATTTTTACGTTTCATATGCCCGTTCTTTAGGAGCAACAGGACAAGTGAGAACAGCAAGTCAATAGTTTATCATCATCACGTCACCAACCTTTATAATTACACCTGATATTAGATCTCAGAGTCCAAGATGCTCATAGAGAGAATATTGTTTTTTAATCAGCCAATGCCATCAACCCAATATTCAACAACATCTAATGGCGCTTTCCTAATTTTGTAAACACTAAACTGCATCACATAAACAACATTTTCCTGTGAGTCGAGGCATTTATTGGAGTGTCTGGAGAAACTTCCATTTAAAAACAATCCTGCCACTCAATTTTGGGATTTCTGTGTTGGAAAATATCTCATTTAGAGAGCCGTCTGGATTTTCAGGGTAAATTACACCCCAAGCCCTGCTCATCCGGCATTTTGATCTACTCTCAACTTCAAATCAGGCTCGATTTTCTGTATCTCTGAAGGAAGAAGCCAACAATCCTTGTGCAATCTCTTTTTGCTTTACAGTGCACAGCAAATTTTCATGAGGATTTACAGGGGTTTAAGACACATTTATTGAGACAATTTAATCAAGTTTTGAACCCATCGGTAAAAATTTTTTTTTGCCGTTTTAGGATCACAGCTTCTCCAGGTTTTATTTGTCTAGCTTTGATTATATTGTCAACAGGTTAATGGTGGAAACAATGAAGTTTTCTACATTTCAATTCATACTGTTCAGCTAAGAAAAGGCATTTTATACAAGAAAAATAAATCAAACTGAGTTAAACAGTTTGATCTCAAAGAGATTAATAATGACAGCTTCTTTTATGTTCGTAGGGAAAAAGCCACCCAAATCTGATCGTATTTTTCTGCATATTTCCAACTGCCCCCCAAAAATCCAAATTGTGTCAGTTCCATATGTGGTACTAAATCCATGTGTCCTGAAAGTGCCTTCGTTGTGTTTCATTTTATTTGATTTAAGATTGATTTATACATCCATCGTTACTTACCCAGACATTGCGCTGCTGTGTGACGTCTACGTTCTTTTGAAGTTGTGCATCGTAAATCGTGCAGGCAAAAGCCTCATTGCAGTCACATTTTTATAGTAGCATGAATGACTATACAAAAATGCTGCACAGTAAACTTTGATTACTACAAATTGATACATTCTTTAAATACTAAGAAACCTAGAAACTACATCCATTGTGAACACAAAAAAGGCTTTAACTACTTTTCTGTTTCCACACTTCAAATATGATAAAATCAATCCGTGTTTTTCAGGAGTGCACAGAAACTTCTGCACAATAAGGGCAAAACTAGAAAATGAGCAAATCCATTAATGAAGGAAACAAAACAAACAAAAAACAAAAAAGACAAAAAAAAAAAAAAAAAAACACAACACTTTAATAAATAAACAGTCATTTTGTAGTAATTATCATTGGAATAAACACAATGGTTTCCAAGCTTTGGTTTGGTTAATGAACCAGCTGGCCTTAGTAATACAAGCAGATGGTTGGGTTTTTGTTGCATGTTGAGATCTAACATCAGCTCAGCATGCAGAGCTAACAATCCATGCTCAAAAGAAAAGCATCATCTCTGAAAGACTCATTTTATTTAAGTCACATTCCTATTAGCATAAGTTCTACTGTCTCTACGC